TCAGCTTTGCGAGGAGACTCCTTTAACAAACAAGAGTTTGTAACAATTTTCCTTATATCTTTCTTTCATTTCTCTTTGTGCATCTGAAATTTGATAAATATTAGTTGGAGATTTAAACTCAATACATAAACCATTATAATCTTTATAATAATTAAGTATCATAAGGTCTGGTTGACCTCTCAGATATCCCTTTTTCCAACTATTAATTCTTTTGTATGGTGTATCTTGGTTTTCCCCAAGTCCTGCTACCATAATAGCATTTGGATAATAAATTCTAGTTAGGTAAACAACTTTACAGTGGAGGTCCATCTCATTTTCAATCTTAAACATTTTGTTATTTGGATTGTCGAAAAGTTTGTAGTAACCAAATTTTCTTATAGATGGGAGGACTTGTGATGTTACCCAATGTTTGAACTTTTTAGCGGTTTCTAATTTTGAGGTCAATACAAGGGAGTAAAAACCTGATTCATTTATATAAAATGATTGTTGCAAACCCCCCGCCGTTTTGGCGGGACCTTTATATTTATCCTCCTCATCAACATGTCTCCTAATAGCTTTATCAGTATCACTATAACCTAAGACCTTAGCAACATCTTTTCCTAAAAACCAAATATTTTGTTTATCATCAATATATGAAGTCAACTCAAATCCTAATCTCGCATTAGTAAACTTTTTCTCCAACATGATTACTAATTAATAATTTTATCTCTTTAAATCAATTTTATAGCATTTCTTTATATTTATAATATAAAAATGTTAGACCGTATTGTTGCTTATGTGAGGTATTACTTTCCTCAGAGTAAAACAGATTTTTATGATGATAACTTTATTAAGGCTTGTCTTGTTTATAAGTTTTTATGCTTTAATTTGTTAAATAAAAATATAGATATAAACAACATAATACACTGGCTTTCAGATTACCGCCATTCTTGTAAAGCAACATCACCTGTGTTAGCAAATCATCTGATATTTAGTCTTGCTTTTAAAGAATTCTGGAAATATTATCATAAGGGAAGAGGGTAAGTTTATGTAATCGATACCCCTTTTAAAGAGTGTGAAACACTTGGTTTTCTAACTGGAATTACTTACTGGATTTTCCACAAGGGGGTTGACTAAAGATTTATAATACTCCCACCACTTTTCATAATTAGCAAATGTTTGTTTAGAAAGCTTAAGACCAATCTGATGATATTTCTCACATCCCATTTCTTCGAAAAGTTTTTTGATCAGGTAAAAAACATTTATCATTCTCTTGCGATTAAAATGTTCATTTATTTTTGTAATAGTTTCTTGGTCTATTTCCATTAGTTTATTGTACAAACAGTATTCCTCATCATCAGTCAATGATATCCTCTTAGAAATATCTTTTACTTTATTTTCATAATGGTACTTTCTCTGATATATACTCTTTCTACGATAATAAAATCTATCATATTCTTTATTATCATAATATCCAAGAGCATGTCCATTAGACGAATCACATGATTCACACATGTAAAAACCAGATTCAACATAAAAATCATCACACTGACAATTCCAACATCTAAAGCGGTTACTCGAGTCCGCGTCCTCTGGTGGTATTTTTTTAATTTAATTTTTCTTGTTTATAATTATCCAATATTTCTTTATATTTTTCTATCTGCTCTTTTGTGTAAGCCATTTATTATTTTTTTAATTATCTTAAAGTCATGTTATTTAATTTTATCTAAGAGCTAAAGTGTTTATTTTGTTCTCCATTACTTGACGCTTATCCTCATTTGCACTTAAAGCAATTTTATTTCCTTTGAGTAAATATCATGATTTTCACTTCTTATAATTTTCATCCACTTCATCTGTTTTTCACCAGAAAATAAACATTGTACATAATTTTCAAAATTTAACCCCTTTTCAACAACATTCTTTTTTATTCCTTTACATTTTCGAACTTCTTTATCCCCACTGCTGTTATCTTGTTCTATCTTAAAACTATAAAGTTTGGGTTTCAATCCAACAAAGTGAATAATTTGTTTTCCAGCTACTTCATCTTTAAACATTCCTATTACTTTTTTGTTAACTCCTGTTAGTATACCAGATTCATGATCAGGAGGATAATCTGATGTATCAAATTTTTCTTCTATATCTAGGGATCTATCTTCGTAAAAGTCATCTGTTTGAATTTGATACATTAAACTGTCAGTGTCTGTAAACAACAACTCAGCACTATTATGATACTTATTTTTAATATATAATTATAATGAAAATCAAACATAAGTATTTTTGACAAATCAAGTATTGCTTGACCAACATATATTGGTTTGTTAAAATATACTTCAGTTTTTTTCATATGTACTGCAACAAGATTAGAATCAAATATTGTTGATCGATCAAAGTTTGGTCGACTTGATAATTTTAAAGCTTTGTCACGGTCATTAACGAGTATTATGTTTTGTCTTTTTCTTATGTTTTCTATTGTTTTTCCAAAAACGCTGTTGTTCATAAGTTTAAAAAAGTCTTTTTCAAAACTGTTGGTTGCTTTTTTTCTTAATTCTGTATTTTTTCTTATGTAAGGTTCCATCCAAGGACTTTGATTAAATGATATTCCTTTGTGAACAGCAGTTAATTTCATTCCCATTTCAAGATATTGTCTTAGATTTCGATAATGTATTATGTAGTTTTTCCTTGGTTTAAAATGACAAATTAGTTTTTCAACACCATTAACAATCATTTTCTCAGGTGCTAAAGGATAATCATTATGGGGGGACCATAAATCAGGTGGATATTCCAAATGTAGTTCAAATATATATCCACGGAGGGAGTGCCTCCCCGAACCCCCTGCTCCTTTGGGTCTGTCATACTACAATGAGCTTTATCAAGAATGCTCATTAGGGTATCTATTGTTAGGTTTTTCATCCATTTAAACCCATGAGTTGGAAGAGACTGTGTCATTGCCCAGCCATAAAGATTATTAGCATCAAGATATTGAATATATGTTGAAGGTTTATCGGGATTGTAATCTTTCATGTATTTGTTGTTCGCTTCTGCGTATCTTTTTGATATGTGTGATATTCCCCCACGAATACCTTTTTCAAACATCATTAACACATCATAATCATTTAGTAACTGTAATTCTTGACCTGTTTCTTTGGGACATGCATCCCAAGCAAGACCAGGAGATGTATAGTAATGAGCTGGATCAAGTTTGTAATGGAGAAGACAAGTTTTTCTAAAATTCTCAAATACATCTGCCAATAATAGGACATCAGACTTAAGATAGAGGTTATGATAATCACGTATATTTTGACAGTTAAATGTATTCCAAACATTAATTGCGTGTTGATACTCATCATCAGTTATGTCTTCATTACTTAGTTTTGAGTAAAATTCTTTTTTTGGCGGTAATTGTTTTTCCAAAAATTTAGAGATTGAAGAAACATAATCATATGTATACACTCCTTTACGAGTTAATGACTCTGTTTTATCTTTAAATATTTCTTTTGTATTGATAAAATCATCTGTTTGTAAATTTTTAACAAGATTAGCAAGACTAGTTTGAAGAAACTTAAATGAGTCTATAAATCTTAACTCAAAATTTAGAGATATAGTTTTTCCATCTATATTTTGGTACTCATCAACTTTTATCTTTTTTGAAAAGGATATATATTTTTCTTCAGTTGATGGAATACAAGTAAAATCTCCCTTAATAGCTGCCAACTGCTTGATAAATAAATGCGCATCATAACCTTGAAGATTATGAAATATAACTGGAATTATCATTGGTCTTCGACATTGTAGGTTACAATTTCGATGAGCTGGGCCGCGATATTCCCCAGTAAAATGACAATGATCACAAACTTTGTCTTCAAAAAGTAATTCTTTATTACAAATATGACAAATTACAGAGTTGTTATAATCTTTTAATTGTTTTTTTGTAATCTTAATACTTTCAGGATGAAGGTAGAAATCTTCATAAATTTTATTTGTAACTTTTTCTAGTTTAGAAACAAAAATAAGAGGAATGTTATCATCTGGATTTTTCTTTATATAAATAATTGGTTTAAACTTTTTATCTGGGTTTATTCCTTTAATATAAAAGCAAAAACCTGATGGTTCATGCTTTTGATAATTATAAGAGTATGAATTTTCTGGATTAGGACAACAATTGCTCATTGGTTTAGTAAAACATTCAAAATCAGCATAATTACAAAAGAGATTGGAAATTGTTTATTAAAATTTACAAACTTAAGAGATGTGTTTTTAGCAGGCATTTTTACAGCAACTGTTTCATTAGATAAACAATATTTTATATGTTTTGTTAATGATTCTTCTTTAGTAAAATGATTAAAACATCTTTTACAAATATGAATTGGCTCGTTTGTTCTTGATGTTATTTGAGATCGAAAAAGTCATGAAAAGTTTTTGATAAGTGAATAATGGTATTTACCATCTTCTTCATATAAAAATAGGTCAGTTGTTTTTTTGGGGATCTTTTTTAGCCATTCTAAGTGGATAAAACGTTTTGCTTTCGTTTACTGAAAAAACATTTATTCCTGGAATATCTGGATTAAGTGATTCAAATTTGGAAATGTCTTTTATTTTTATTGGAAATTTAATACCTTTTATATTAAGTTCATTTTCATATTTTTTAAGATCACTTAAACGAGAATCATTCTTTTCTTTTGGATGAAGATAGCGAAGTACAGACCAAAAAAAACATTTATTACCGCTGTTACGAATACTTACGATAGCCTTTTTTCTCATAATCCAATCTGGGAGAGGGATATAAGAAGATCCTCCTCTCATCGGTTTATATTCAACAGTGTGTATTTCAAGATAAAGTAATTCTTTAAAATACCATCCACTACCACTTTGTTGATATATACTTATCTTTTCAAGGATTAAATAAATTACTTGAGGAAGTATTTTTTTTTACATCTGTTGTCTCAAGATTAACATAAGTATTTGATCGAAAATATGCTTTAGACTGAACTTTAATAAATTTGTCTGATATTTTTTCCATTTTTTCCATAAGGCAAACTAAAACAAATTTTACTTTTATGTTTCGATGATTTCGAAGAAATTCTTTTAAATAAGAAGATTTAGATTTAAAAAATTCAAACGGTAAATCACTAGGTTTTCCCTCGATAATGTATTTATTAGCAAATCCTTGAAGAGCTGATTTTTCTTTTATGTTTGAGACACCTCGAATGCACTATAGCTTCACAGTTTCCGTGGCACCAATTTGACATCTTTAATGGGTCGTTGCGTAAGTGTAGCGTGAAGATCGACAAAATCTAAGAAGTTGATTTGAGCATCACCTTAAGTTGCTGTTTAAGATCATGCCTGAGATTAATTTTACAGAATAATGAACTGACACGAGTGGACAGTTGGTCACAAGAACAATGATCAATTATTATGTCTTCGTGTGCCCCAACGTTCACTTTTAACTTTGCTCTTGATTTCCTTTGCTTCAGTCATCTTGTACACTTTCTCACTAAGCGATCACTCAACGTTTGTTTTGAATTCACACAGGGACTTGCAATGTCCAGTTACAACAAACCCTCTGCAGTTTTTCAAGCCAGTTTCTCATTGCAATTAAAAAAGGCATTTCGTTTCTGTACAGAGATCTCCAGGTCTATTAGCCAGTGAAAATAGAGGCGTTTCCAGTAACGCTCGTTCCATATATCTCTTAGAGGCACAGAACCTGATTCAAGATGAATAACGTTTCTTTATTCCACAAGTCACGTGCCTTTGACATACACAGAGGCGAGTTCTGCGAGGCAGCCGACAATAGCTCCTAACACGCTTCCCCAGAAAACAATCCAACTCAAATGGCTGTATACTGCGGCTTTCAGCACCTGAACAAATAAGGAAAGTCACGTGATTTTGAAAGAGTCTTAATCAAATCAAAAGGGAACCACGTCCTGATGAGCTGGACAAAATAAGGAGAGTCACGTGGAAGAAAACCACGTGGCAAGAGTCACGTGCAGTGGAAATAACAAACCACATACAAATGTATGGATAGTCAACATGAGTGTTGCAAATGACGTAGACTTTCTAGAATTCCGTTTTGGTGGGGCCATCCGTCAGACATGCTTGTTTTCGCGCAAATTTCGTCGCTTTTTTGGGCGACTTCTCACTCAAACATTTGGGACTTTCGTCGCACGTTTTCGCAACTTCATCGCCCAAAATTGCCCACTTGTGGGGAAGTCAATGAATGAGGAGGCACTTAAATTGACCGTATTTAAATTTAGGTTTTATTGTACCGTTTTCGATCCACCATTCATAAAATGGGCTCAAGTGTTCAGATCATAGCTAGACTCTTCAATGAGTTCGTTACTTGATTACACCACCAAATTATCAAAGATATTTTAAACGAGGCTCCCTTAAAGAAAATCCTGGTCAGTTAACATCAGTGGAGACTGTTTACTTACAAATTTAAGCTGCTCTGCCGACAGCTCTTGGGTCCTTGTTAATATCAGGTCTACAATCTAGCAGTTGGAAGAAAAATACCAGCACTTTAACAAATACTGAGCAAAAACAACCAACAGTTGTACTAAAAAAAATTTACAAGGAGAGTAGTAACGTGGGGCTGTTAGTCCTGCATTTTATTAGCTGGTATTCCACAACTGCATTTACTCTTATAAATAGCTTCTAACACACGGGCTTTTATTTTTATCCTTTCCCGCCCAAACCACGGGAGTGGTTGGAGTATGTTTTTATCTGAGTCTTTAAATTGTGGTGTCGAGATCATCTGAGATCATTTTATTGCAACTGCAGTGCTTTTCTAATTTATGTAGATTTTAAGTTTCCTAAAGTACTTTGACTCAAAACAACACCGTAATTCTTAGGGAGTTATTATAACTCCAAAAATGGAGTACAAATTTTAGTTACAGGATAACCGCTTTTTTGAGGTTATTTTAACTCCCAGTCTGGAGTAAAAAAAAACTCCGAAATGGGGTTACTTTTATTCCTTACATGGGTTGTTTTTACTCTTTTTGGAGTTAATTCAACTCTGAAAGTGGAGTAAAAATTTTAGGTACAGGACAACTCCTTTTTTGGGGTTATTTTAACTCCTCAATATCTGGGGTCACTTTTACTCCTGAAAAAGAGTTCTTTAAACTCCTTTTTGGAGTTAAAATAACTCCCCAAAAAATAACTCCACTGTAAGGAGTTAGCTCCACTAGAGGAGTTACTATAACTCCTTGAAAATTACTGTGAATATTTCGACACACAGCAGTCATTATTAATATCCTTTGGAAGTCTGGGCATTCAACAAAAGACCAACGTATCACACTTTTGAGGAGTTTACAGAAATGTAAACGATACGTTGTTGCAGTAAAGCGACGTTAAGATGTGATTATAAGACACGTACTTGTTCTCTTAGATGTTCAGCATTCAATAATTCCATCGACTCTATAGAAGACAGTAACTGAAACACAAACACCGGTATACACAAAAATATAAGTGAAATAGTTTGGGCTGCAAGTTGTTTTGTAATGAAAGAGCAACTGTAATAGCTTGTACTGAATTTTTTTTATAAAAAGTTGTGTCTTACCAAAGGTACAATAGTTGTCTTCATACTCATAAGATGTGGTTTCACTATCGGCTTTAGCTTAGCTTTGCTGATCCCGATCATACGTAGTCTAAGGCCTATAATTAGAAGCAATGTCAAAATAAATGCAAAGATTATCGCAGTTGGGACGCAACTTATGCAGTTGGTAAAACAAAGCATGAAAAAACAAAAACAAAACAAAAAAAACAACAAAAACAACAACAACAAAAAAAAACAGTGCCAAAACAAAACTTTCTACTCTTATATAACTAGAATCACAAACAAAAGTAGTTGACACACTTGTTTAAAACGGGTGCTTTTATCAAACATTTAATTCATTTACTATTTAATTCCTTTCAAACGCCGTAAATCCCCTCACCCCCCGAATCAATGACAGTTGTCTGAAGTAAAAGAAAGACTTGAGGGTCCAAAATACAACATTGATTTGAAGGGGAGGGGGAAGGGGTTGGGGTAGACAGGGGAAGGGGATAGGTATGTCTACTATGCAAAAAGGGTGTCTCAACACTTTTGTCCCTCACTGTAGCTGGAATTTTGAAAACGTTTGACAAGTTTCCTGCGCATTTTATTCATGACGCATTTATTAAATTTTGCTGCCCTTTTGCTGCCCAAAAAATTCTGCTAATTCTGCTCAGGCACCACAACTGTGCTCATTGTGTTTTCCCCTTTCTTTCCTTTTCTCTGTCATTTTACTGTATTTTATTCATTTTTTCCTCTGCTTCAAACAGTTTTAAGATTTTAACGGCTTTTAGCCTGTGTAAAGCCGCGCGTACAGCTTCTCGACCTGAAACTGAAAAAATAGATTTTTACCTTTAATTCTAGTCAAATGGCTCTATTTCTGGCGACTACTTTGTACATCAAAACCTACCTAGATATACCGTGTTCAATTATACAAGCACTTATATACCTCTGCTTACCAAAAAAATAAAAAAAATAAAAAATAAAAAATGCACTTTATCAAGAGAGGATAAAGGGGACAGAGAAGGCATCCCCCATACACACCCTATTCCATAGGTAATTCGTCTCGAGTTATTTCCCAAGGGGGATTAGACAACAGCCAATCACATAGCGCGAATGTGTTCCGCGTGGATGACCCACGCTCAGAGCCACGCGTCCTTTACAAATTGACGCAGAACAAAATGGCGGAAGACGCGGAGAGCGATATTTGCTATTCGTTTTGTCGACGAAAACGACTACAGAGAGATTTCTGCTAAAGCTGTGTCAGCGAAACGGAAATTAAAAAAGAATCGCCCTTCCTCTCTTGCATAGAGCTAACAGTACAGCAGGGAAATCCTTAACACACTGAATATTCTCTCAGGATCATTCATAATTTACAGTTTGAAGAGAGCAATTTCTGGTTTGATATTTATTCTTTTATTAGTCTTTTATTATTCAACAAAAATAACTCTTGGCGTCCTACTTGCTTTATTGTACAAACGACCGGTTTCAATAGACCGGCGAAATTTCTCATTTTACTAAAGTACTGAGGTTACGAAAACTTCAAGTTAAACTGATTTCACGGGTTGTCAAAGAGTCTTGCGATTCCCTTTTCCTAGGTGAGCGCCGACTCATTTCGCGTCAATATTCAGGAATGCTCTCGATCTCTTTACGCTTTCATTGCCTTTCGCCCGACATGTTTTGCACGGCGTTCAGTCATGCGAAACCTCCACGAAACATCCACGCAGCGCGCGAGGTAACTTTATCCCGATTCTAAAAATAACTCGAAACGAATTACCTATGGAATAGGGTGTGTACGGGGGATGCCTTCTCTGTCTCCTTTATCCTCTCCTGACTTTATTTGAGCGTCAACGTATTTAGCACGAAAGTGCTAATTGGGGACACTATATTTTAAGACGTCTCCTACTGGAGATGGGAACGTCATTTTACGTGGTCATCCGAGCCACGTGAAGGTCTAGCCATTTGCAGGGCAAAGGCATTACCTTCATTTCTCAGTTAGTTTAAGACCCTGAGTATTGGTCCAACCCCAGGAATCGAACCCGCGATCTCCCGCTCTGCAGTCAAGCGCTCTACTGACTGAGCTAATCCTGCCAACTTTACAAGTTGTTGTTGAGGTGGAGCATAAACACAAAACATCCCATCCATTCTTTAATCTTTGCCTCTTCCCAAACTCTACTTCCTCGTTCTGTGTTTCATTTACTGTTCTCAGCCTTTGTGTCATGAATTTTCAGTGTTTGTACAACTTGGACTTTTTTGATGTTTTTGTTAAACTATACTAAGTTCCATCTTTAATTCTAAATGCTATGAACTTGGCTTTGGAAAGTAAACAGCTGGTTATCTACGGCTTAGCTAGAGAGGACTAGGAGTGTTTTGTTGCTGTTGAGGCAGCAAAATGCCTAATAAGCCAACAGCGATTCATGAGACAGGGGCACCCAACGACAATTTTCGGAAAATATCTGTTCGGAAGACGATTTGAGATCTAAAATTTTCGGAGCATTTTTTCCAAAATTTCTTGCTTGTCTGCCTCTCCTGGGATTTTCGAACATCTAAAAAATGGTATAATTGCCCATTTTTAACGGATTTTTACCCTAAAATGGTCACCTCCAATTTTCGGGAGCCTTTTTTCTGGCTGAAATTTTCGAATAGGTAAGTTTTGATCCCTATAATTTTCGAATCACTAGCCTTTCAGCTAGGAAATCCGAACAGATGAAAAATTTTTAGGGGATAAAAATTTGCCTATATCTACCGTTTTAATACTAAAATACGTTTAACAATGCTATGTTTAAGTGGTTTTGAACTATATTCTCGTTGGGTGCCCCTGATGAGACAACCGCCGAAAAAATGCCACCACTTAAGTCAAAGCTCTAGGTATAATATTCATGTGCCTTTCCACATTTTAACTAACTGAACTCAGGAAGGGAATAAAAAAAGGGAGAAATGAATATAGCAATAAAAAACCTTCAGCTGAGCCCATAAACGCTTCTAACTGCTCATCTATGATGGATTCTACGCCTGAAGAATTAAGAAGTTCATCCAGCTGATTATCTGTTAGAAAAACCATCAGGTGTTAATAAAAAAGTCTCTACTCAACTAATTCATCACCTACGGCAGATCTTCCAAAAAACAAACAAACAAAAAGCTAACATTTAGGAAAAAGCCATAATCAACGAAAACCTATCCTAAACTTTGTTTACGGCTTGTCGATCTTCTTATGTTTCTAGTGCAAGTAGGTAAATATTTTGTTGTATTATAGCTTCACGCATAACGTTTGATTTTCTGTTTGATTTCTCCCCATTCACTTTTCTCTTTCTATGACATTCTATCCATGTTGCTGAATTTTCATAAAACATAAGGTTTTCAGGATATCACTGATGAACGTCCCCAAACTCTGGGCAGTGGCTGCTAAGTCAATAATTGTAAAAGGTTACGCTATTGACAAAAAACTCATCATTTTAACTAATCATTGAAAGTGTCTTTAAAATACTAAGAAAACTCTGTCTTCAGGGAAGTCTCCAGTAGTACAGTCAAGCTCTGTTAATACGGACACTTACTATGACTCCCTAAGTGTCTGTACTAATGAGGTGTAAATATTAAGCGGGTTGAATTTAGAGAAAATGTAAAGGCTTTATTTCTCCATGGACAAAGCAACTTCCATAATGACAACGAGTCCATATTAAGCGGGTGTCCATAAAGCAGTGCTCGACTGTATTAAATTTTAGTCAATTTCCATCTCATTGTTAGTAAGGTCAATTTTGGGGAGGGGGTTGCGGCTGGGTGCTTACTTGAAGCTTAGCTCTTATTGCCTTTTCTTACCTATATGGTGGGTGCTTAATTGAATCAATACAGTGTACTCAACAATAATAATCTCAACTTGGATAACACATACCAATGTGCTCTGCAGTTAAATGGTTTTGAATCTTATCATATAGATATCTCTTCACTTGTAATGGATTGAAAAATCCATCCAAAACAAAATTGGCCATCAGTTTCTTCGCAACTGTAAAGTGCTTGGTGATAGCACCACTGTCAAAGAGACATCAGGATACAATAAGTAATTCTACAAAAATAAACGTAACTTATAAAATCATTGTTTTAATAATCTTCCTAAATCAGGTTTAAAAATTAACGATCTTCAGAACTCAGTACTTGATAACATAATATTACTTTGTAGCACTGCTAACTACTAATGAAGCCAAAAAGCAACATAAAACTTTTAATTGTCTTTAACTTATGTCAAGTCATAACTCTAAGCTCAGTTTTATTAACTACAGGGTTTGTACTCTTTTTGAGCAAAAAATTCAAGGCCTTTTCAAGGACTTTCAAGGACACATTTCCAATTTTTCAAGGACTCCATTCAGTGCAAAAAAGAGCCTCGAGTCTACATCCTTTTTAGTTCTTCCACAACATGAGCAATTTTATCCTGAAGGTCTTTCTGTGTTTGTTCCTTTCTCTTTGGAGTTCTACATACACTATAAAGTTAGCATTGAAATTCAAGGACCTTCCAGCAGCGACTGCAATTTTCAAGGACTTTCAAGGCCACAAATTTTTATTTTAAAATTCAAGGAATTTTAAGGTGTGTGTGAACCTTGTGACTAACAAGAAAATTTAGGTCTATTATACGTTACCCTGTGAGCAGCGGCCCTTCAATTGTCCTAAATAAGTCAGGACAGGAAGGGACCCCCATTCCTCTTCCAGACTCATCTATGAAGATCTGCAAAGGGCCTCTGCTTGTGGCGTAACAACATGTAAGAAGCTATAGAACTGTCCGCTGGCCTCGCTTTCATTCACAGTTCCCATTGGGCAATCATGAAATGTTAAAGTTGAAGCTGAGCAAGTCACATTTTTAACAGGTTCAGAGATTTTTGGCTGTCTAAAGTAATGATTTTTTTCTTAGAGGATCATGACAGCCATGAGCTGTACTACAAATAGATGAAAAAAAAAATAGAAAAAATGAAAGTCTCCCACTTTCTTTCGTTTCAGCAAAATCTGCCACATAGATTGTCTTATCATACCTGAAAAACACTCCAGGAATTCTGTTGAAGATCAGCTTAATTCCTAACCAGTTTGTTACTCCAGCTAAAAAAAGGCAAGACATTAGTACTTGAAAGTACTATTTCCTTTTAACACTATGTCTTTTAAATTAGTGGCACTGGCAGAAAAAAATTTTTTCTACTTTTACAGCTAGGTTAATGATAAAAATAAAGAAAAATATAAAAAATTAAACAAATGCCATATTATGAATTTTTTCATGGGGATATGTCTATAAAAGGTTTTGTTTATCAATTCTCTTGAAAGTGACATTTCAACCTCACACTGTAGGTCTTAATCAGCCGATAGTGTCAAAACCCACCCCCCAAGTGGGGTTCATGATACACCAATCACTAGCAAACAAAGGTACTAAATAGTTGTAGTCAGTAAATCAACACTATCACCCGATTAAGACATGCAGTACACAGCCGAAATGTTGTGAGCAATATCTACAATGTAAGTGACTATCATGTGAGAAACTGCGAACAAAACCCCTTTTAATTCACCATATGGACCCACCATATGGACCATACCGGGCCCGCTGTAATTGGCCACGGCTTTTGCAGTGTCCCTGCCAACGTTCTTTCTGTTTGACTGTTTGTTTGTTTTTTTTTGGCGAAGCTAATAAACTAAAATATGATTAATTCAACATCTTAATCCTTTGAGTTTTTAAACCTCATATCTCAATACAGAGTTGTCAGAAATGACAGTACTGAGAAAAAACAAATTAAAGATCTCACTTTTCATACCTGTAAAACCAAACAATCCTGCTGCCCTTAGCAACTCACAGGCTATTATCACAGCTATGGAGGATACAATGAAAAACATACAAAATTAATGTTGGGAAGAAACATTTTACTTTGTCGGGAACCCAGTAAACATGCACACTACAGTTGCCAATTTTATGTACCTAACAGGAACATCAATATTGTTTATAAATCGAATGTGGAAAAGAACACAGTTCATAAGTGTTCTGCTGTTGCTACAGGTTTATTACCAAATGATAGCATAAGTTCTTCTAGACCATAAAAGGGATCACTTGAAAGGGACGAGTAAGACTCTGAATGCTATTTTTGATGACACCAAAAATGCAACAATTGCCATTCATGAAATGATAATCTTATAGATTAAAGGGTAGACTGCATTGCCATTCAGGATTCTGATCAAGGTTAACAAGTTTAATAGTTGTGCAATGAGACTGATCTACGAAAAGGTGTGAGGCACATTCACATTTCTTTGTTTTGCTAATTAACCTATTGCTTTTCTATTTTCCTGTTTCCATCACTGCCATGGTTGTTGCTCAAGCTCACTAGTAGCTTCATCGTGCTAAACAATAATATTTTGACTTTGTTGAAAAATCAATACAATTTGATGGAAAATGGGGCAATGAAAGCAATGTCTGCAGATAACCAAAGAGAGGCTCATGAATGGAGATAAGAGCTTTCGTTATACAGATATTTATCATCATCAACACACATGCACAGAAAAAGTTGTTTATAATCATACAGACTTAAAGATGTACATACTTCTTTGGTCATTTTTCTTTTTATAGGTGGCGACCAAGATTCCTCCACTGATAAGGAGAAGAAATGTAACAAACAGGCTGATGCAGCCAATGGACACATAACTGCTTCTTCTGAGAATGGAATAAGACTGCAGAGAAAATAACCAACAGCAATACCCTCAGGGTTGTCAAAAGTAGCTGGCTGCCGCCGAAATCATGCCTACTTGGTTAATATCGCCGAGCTACTCTGCTTGACATTTCTTTACAGATGGCGTTTTTTACGTAAAATATCCCTGGACTGGCCGCTTACTTTCACAACTCAGCCGTCTACTTCATAACTTTCTGACAACCCTGACTTTTACACCACAGGTACCCCAACCTAGAGATCATTGTTGCATGACAGAAATATTATAAGAGTTTGTGTGGGGATTTTAGTGAGAATCTGACAGAACTGAAACTTTCTGGAATCGTGCTGAAAAAAACAAATACAATAAAACAAGGAGACAAGGTAATGTGTTCTGATGTATTTTCATTCTGTTACTTTTGTACCCCAAAGAATAATTGCCAAATAAATCCCCATAAGAACCCTTATGGAATTTCTGTTACATAACAAGTACAACCCTCAGTCTTGAGCTTTATACTATAGGGTAACAGGGCTTATTAAGGAATATTCTATGAAAGAAATATATCCAGTGACATGTTCAAAGAAAAACAATGTTCTCCATTTGTGAATGTTTGTTACACAGAAATGGTAAAGAAAAACTTTTACATTCTCCTCCTAGAAGGAATTTTCCTGGAGAAACAGAGAGACATTCTACAAGCCACCTCACTGAGACAAGAATGTTTATATAGTGATTCTCAAAGGTTACCTTGACATTATCTATGTGGTGCATTTACCCCATAAAAAAGAAAAAAAAAGTATAAATAAATTAATAAATATTTATCAATAATAATAATAATAGACCAGGAGCCCATAAATCGCAACATGCAACTCTAAATGTTAACCTGTGCAGTGTTTTCACAGATCAAGTTATCTTCACATGAAGCATCATTTTGGAGTATAATTTTTTACTGCAAAAATGGAATCATCAATATTCTGTATGTGTATGCATCCATAGTGCGATAATGACAAAAAAAAGTAAATGCTTGCAAATCATAAGAAATACTATTTTCATGTCTCTGGTTTATGCTGACTTATTGTCAAAATTTGCAGGAAACTAGATCTAAAAATATATTGATCTCTTGAAAAGCTGTTGCATGGGCACAAGGAAGTTGCTCGCTCTGAGTTATGGGCTCCTGAATAGAGTAACAACAACAACAAAAAATACAGACATGTCCCAAACCCATATCAAAGAAGATAGAGAACCCAATGACAGTTTCCTCCTAAATACATTAAAAAAAACTTTTTAGGCTATCCAGGCCAGAGTACTTTTGGATCTCTGAGCGGTGCTATAAAATTTGTATCTGTTTGGTCATCCTAGGGGAACTTGAGTCTTTTTGAAATTACAAGGGCTTCAGTATTATTTTCCTGAAAATGTTAGATGCAATTCAATGTATTACGGAAGTGAGAATTTTTCTGATTTCTCTCTCCATCACATTTTTGAATCCGAAAATTTAGGTTTTCTTTTTTGTAAGAAAAATAGCCTAACCTGATGTGAAAAATTAAACTTCAGAAAATCGTAGGAAATAATAGGTAAGCGTCGAAAATTGTACATGAATGGAACGACCAATTAGAAATTTTTAGCCATCCTAAAGCTATAGAAGCCTCTAGACAATATTTGCTTCTCCGAACAGATATTAATTTTTACAGAAAACCATCATTGGGTGCCCCTGCAGTATATTTTGAATTTTGCACTAAGTTATTAGAAGTGCATAGTTAACATGAATATCTGTTTTGTGTTTAACATGACAATCCCATACAGAATCATACTATTTAATAAAACCTACCCCTGCTGCAGTGGTATGAGAAGCCACAGACACATGTAGTTCACCAGGCTGGCTACGTAATGATTCTGCGAATGACGATACTTCACTAAGTGCTTGCCCATCTTGTTCCACAGAAAGAGCTAAATTGTTGAATGCTGTATGTCTGACATTTGAGTGTTTACTTTTGGAACTCCTAATTCTGTCGTCTACTGTTAACTCCAATGTTGCATTTCTACGGACAAAACAAAAAAGCCCTGCAGTTCATTTCAAAAAAATAATTTTTGACACCATTATTTTAATAAAGGATCAAGATTGAACAAAGAGCCTAGAGGGTGCTTGGACTTGTGAAGACAGACCCCACATAAGTGAAGTGAGGGGAGGGTAGGGGGCAAGGATGGTGTCTGCCAGTGTGGGGAATGGTCTTCACCGCTGAAGACGCTTGAATACTTCTTCTGTTGCACGTTTATAAGCAGGATCGCTACACCAGATCCTCGAAACGGCCCCTGGCAATTTTGAGGACACCTTATCCTTTTGTGTTTAGCTTAACTGAGCTTAAATTAAACTTTCGTTATCTGAAGGTTGGCATCGGCCTGGCGCAAAACACAACATCTTTTTATACTCGAACTCCTCTTACCGCACGTGTGGACGCTTCTGATTTGCTTCAGGCCAAGTTGCCATAGTAAAAGACCTCAACTGCTACGAACAAAACGTTTTTATACGACCAAAAAGGAAGAAAAACCGTGCAGCGATCCAGCGCGGACGGACCGAAGACGCACCGTCGCCATCATTCTTTGTTTTCAGAATCATAACTCGCCCCAGGACTCCGACGGAGTCTCGCGCCTGCAGCTTTTGATCCTTTTCTTCTCCAAGATGGCAGTGAATGTCTGGTTGCGAATGTTCTTTTACGGCCTTCATGGGTTCTTTGACGAAATACTTTTCACTTCAATGTTAAACTTCGCTGAATCAAACTTCATAGACTGGAGTTTTCGAGGTCACTCATCGCTGTGGTCATTTTTTATGTATGGTTTCGGCAGCTTCATCATTGAACAGCTCTATTTGCTTTGGAAGGACAAGCCATTTTTGCCTATGCCTGTACGAGGATTCCTGTACGTTATATGGGTGTATATATGGGAATTCAGCTGTGGTATGCTGCTTAGATATTTTAACGCCTGTCCATGGGATTATAGTAGTCGACAATGGAACTTTTCTGGTTTGATAACTTTGCAATATTTTCCAGCCTGGGGCCATTCCATTTAATATCCACACCCCCCCTATGGACGAGTTTTTCAGAGGGGTCTCCCTCTTTTTGGTGTAATTTCTGAGGGGTACACTTTATATAAGTGATTTTCTGAGGGGTTAGTGATATTGAGATTTTCTGAGGGGTGTTTAACAAATACTAACTCGCCTTTCGCCTTCTCACATTACGCAAAGAAGTCTAAAAGCGGGAACAAAGGGAGGAGATATTTTTCTTCCCAACCCCTTCTGGCACTTTTTTCTTCGCCTATATTGGGGAAAGTCGCATATAGTTAAGACTGTGGGCTTGATATCCAGATATCCGGGACGTGGTTTTCACTGGGCCTTCATCATGGTCACAAATGAAGTTTTCCTTGCATGAAGTGCTGCAGAGCGAACTATAGATATATATTTAAAAAAACAGCAGGCAAGAAAAGTTGACTTGAATGAGAGCTTATTACTGAATGCATATTTAAGATGTAAAACTAGAATAAGCTGAAATGTCGCAACAATCGCCGAATTCTCTTAAGTTTTTGAATTAATTGGAGAAACATCATATTAATTAGGAGGGTTTTATAGTAACTGTAAATTAAATTTGAGAGTTATAGCAATTAATTGCTAAAACCATGAAATTTCTCGAAAAGTATGCTTTTTGGCAAATCAAAATTAGGGAAATAAGGGACGAGACTTCGCACAGCCACAAAGTCTCAAAAAAACATTTAGCAAAAATAGCAAGTGCTGTGGACGTTGTTTAACTTAATCGGTACAGGACAATCTACAATATAAAAACTGACTCCAAAACTGTGCTTCACAACATTTGAATATATAATTATTAATATGAAGAGGAACGGTCTTCTTTACTAGTACCCAGTACTCCAATGTTACTGATTCCTTTTTTTAAGATCTTACGCACAAAAATGACTATATACCAAATGGCCTCTAAACTATGCAATCAGTAGAAAAATTAAGGACACAAGACTTTCAGAAGCTCCATAAATACATTTTTCTTCTCAGACCGGTTACTCTTTTCTATTTAGCTGGTGCTGTGCTGTGAATTGGCTTTATCACTGATTTTTGGAAATGGTCTGCTAAAGACTGGAATTTTCTTTTTGTTAGTTTGGTCGTAGGTGTATACCTATAATTATATACACAAGTGTTGCTAACGATAAGAGAAGTTAGTTCTGTGTTGCCTTCAGGTGCTAACTGCCTCGGGTGAATTAAGGAGTGGGTCTCTTGAAATTTGTGAGGGGATGGTCTAGTTAAAGGAGATTTAACTTATCGACTTGAAACTTTGCATGCGGTAAATACATCTTAAAAAATGTTTTTATCCGTTGTGTTAGTCACGTGACTTGTCGTGCCTATTTTTTGGCCATTTAGTTCGGTCCAATTTTACGACATTTTACAAATACTTGTTGTGATTTATTTTCTTTCTTTCAATGACTATTAGCACAAGGTTTATGGAATTAATCGGGCTTTCTCAAAATTATTTGTTTTGAGTGAACTATAGCGTTTCCAGTTGAGAGTGGGACTAGGTCGAGGAGAAAACCTTTGATAATTGCATAGGAATAAAATATTTTGTAATTCCCCGTTTAATTTGACTCATTTGACTTTAAACTTAACACTATGGAAAAATACACGAGAGCTTCAACAGTCATTTTCATGGCGTAATCTGAAAATACTCAATTTTACATAATTATGGGCGTCGCTGATCACGAGACCTTAAGAGGCACAGTGTGAGGTCCAAAAATGGTTCCAATGTTAAGCACGTATGTTTAAGTAAAAATGAAAATAGATGGCAGACAAAACAAGAAAAAATGTTAAAAGCCCAAAATGGAGCGAGGAGCCATCACTCGAGAGCCTCATCCTCATCCCCTGCATCCAGCATTTTCGAAGATAGGCGCATCTCCACTTGCTGTCGCTTGACCTTGATGGATTTGACAGCCACCTCCTGAGCTTTCTTGAGCTCAGTATAAGCTCCCTCCATCAAGGCCTTCTCGTGTTTCAGAACAGAGCTTTCATTTCCTCTCTTTAATTCTTCTACTTTGGCATCATGGCCTTCTAGTGCCAAGTGGGCAGCAGTCATGCGTTCCAGGTTTTTGCCCAGCGTTTCCTTCTTCTGCTGCCCAAGTTTGCTCGCACCGGTCGGGTCTTCATTGAAACGCAGCTCCCTCTCGTCTTCTAACAGCTTTCGGGCCTCTGTTTCAATTAACGAAGTTTTCTTCATCGTCCAGGAGACGTCGATTATTCCAGCTATGGTTGTTTTATTGCAGTGAGACGTTTTTGGACACTTGGCCAGTTGTTCCGCCTTCTCGTTCCAAAAACGCCTTCTTTTCCTCTCCAAGTGGGCCTGCGGACTTTCTATTTCTTTATCGGAGTAAATTTTAATATTTTTCATTTTAGCATTTCTGTACTTGTTTTTCTTCAACATATCCAGGAATGATGTTGCTTTTCTGCCGGGCTCGGCTAGTTCAGGAACCTTACCTAAGTAAACAGAAAAATATAATTACTTTAACGACTCCTTAACAATTCACTAAATTCTCATTTGCAAATGAATGATATTAATAAAATATCAGATACTTCGATTTGGTTGCTTGACTCATCAAAAAAAAAAGCTTCATAAGCCGACCGTCAAGGGACCCGGTAATTACGAACCAGGCGCTTTCTGTATTAATCAAATGTTTTAAGAAACCCGAATTCGCGCACGTTATAAATCGCATCTTTCTATCACTCAATTGTATTGGAACAAAAGGACGTCACGGAAATTTTTGCCCCGCTGAGCTCGGAATCGCAGACGCTGACTTTACTCTGCGGATGAATGGCTGAAAAAGGCGTCTGCTCTCGCAGGCTATACAGCACTGTAATGCTGTTTACTGATTTAGTTCCGTGGTAACGATGATTGAGAACCAACTTTCTCGGAATGTATAGTTATTTTCGTGCAATCCGATTGGTCAACTTTATCTTGGTGGCCCCACTTACAGTTGTCGCACTGTAAACGTGATGAATCTTCCTTTGTGTTTTAGCTTGACTAGACGTAATATTTAAAACTTGAGGTACAGTTTTTCTTACCTGCGGCTTCTTCTGGTATATCTGTAGAGTCCGTTTTGTCTTCGTCCTTGTGGTCTGTTCCAGTCTGGTTGTCTTGCTCAGCTTCTATTGCTGGATTCCACGGACTACCTTCGACTTCTTCTTGTATATCAAAAACGTCTCCATCTGACATCTCGTCCATCTGCTCTGTTTCTCCGAGACCACTTACGCATGCGGCGGCTTCTTTTGTTATCGCTAAATCTATCTCTGACTCCACATAGGTGTATTTTTCCACCTCCGGCTCCGTTTCTGGATGGATGTGCGGTGCAACTGTGTCCGGCTTCCATGCATTGCCGAGTATAAAAACCGTGCCTTTGTCATAGGCCAACAGGCATTCGTCGTCGTCTATTTCTGTGCCATCAGATTCGTCGAAGACTTTACAGTTTTCCTCCTGAATGCCTAATTTTTTTTTACCTGGGTCCGGGAAGGAATTATGAATTAAAATAAAACAATGACTGGGATTTTGTCAAGTTTAATTAGTCTTACACCAGATTCATGAAACACTCCTTTCGCATATATCACTTTGTTTCAAGAAAAGCTATGCCTTTATCATATTACTATGTAAAGCAGAAAGCACAGTTCGAATACTGTCCCATCAAACAATGTATTCCTTAAAGGGACAGTGTCCCGATTCTGCGCACGCGCGAGCGTCACCTGTTTTTTCTTGAAAAGACAATAGAACGGTATGTTTAGGCCCACTTTATCGCTGCCGCAATTTATCCGTCATGCAATTGTCATGCTGAACTCCTTTATAGTTATTAAAAATTTGTTCAGGACAAAATCACGGGAGAAGCACGCCGACTGATAAAAGCAAGCACAATTCCCCTTGTTAAAGGTACGTTTTTTTTGCAGAAAACAAACTGGAATAGTGATAAAATTCAGGGGCAGATCCAGAAAATTCAGAAATGGGTAGTTGGGAAAACAAAATTCAGAAAGGGGCGGCTGGGACACTGGCAGTTATATAAATACTAATTATTTAACTGAGAATTCTTTAAAAATGATACAAAATTTCACAGAAAAAGGGCTGACCATGGTCCACTGGACAATCCCGTAAATCCGCCACGAAATTTGACAAAATTTCATCCGGGTTGGTAGAAATAAACCGGTGCGTTTCCGGTGATTTCACAAGCTCTAAATTCAAAATTTTTGGGACAGCATCCCCCACTGGATACTAAGCGCAATAGCTTCTCTAATTCTAATACATCCGCTGGATAGTGATCTATCCGGTGGATAGCGCTATCCAACGTTTGAACAACTTAGGCGTGATGCAAAGAAAACTTCTTAGTGTCTCGAGGCACATTACCACTTTACTTTTTACCATTTCCGGTTCCGGTACTTGGCCCCCGCTCGAAGGACATTTATCCCCTGCAGCGCCCCAAATTTACTGGAGGAATAGGCCCTTTGCATGAGCTGATCAAGTGATCAACTTTCGGTAAACACGAAAACAGATCGGTTAAGCTGAAATAAATTTTCAGCCATAATCTTAAAAGTAGTGATTGCAACGGCCGCCGAAAATTAGAAGGATTTGTATGAGAAAAACAACTCCCACCACCCAGTCACGTTTGAATGGTTTTTCATACAAATCCTTGTAAATTCTAACATTTTTTAATTTTCGTTAAATCTTTCCCTTTTAGCTTACGCCGGCTTAGGGCTCAAATTGCCTGTAATGAATTAAAAGGAGATTTGATTTGATTGACAGTTTTGAAAATTTTGAAATTTACAAGGATTTGTGTGGAAAACCATGCAAACGTGCAGTGGGTGGACTTTTTGGGTCGTTCCATCGGAAAATTTCCGGGAGCAACGTAACATCTAAAAGGGTAGTCCTGCTTTTCCGGAAGGAATATTCCAAACGAAAATCCGTGTTGCATTTCTTCAAAGCCGTTCAGGCCTTCGCGGTCGCTTTTTGGTAAATGGAACTCATTTGTACAAATGGTAAACGCGATTCCGGGACGACATTTACCGGTCCTAAATTTTGCGCTTCATTTGCCCAGACCTTGGACCGACCAGGCCCCGGTTGTTCAAACGTTGGATAGCGCTATCCACCGGATAAATCACTATCCAGCGGATAAGTATTTTGGAAACCAATTACGCCATCCTCTGGATAGTGATTTCTCCGGTGGATAGTGCTATCCAACGTTTGAACAACCGGGGCCAGTTTGCCCATGTAAATCATTGCCAAAATAACCCTAATTTTAATATGCTCTTGCTCAAAGGCGAATTGTTTTCGTGTTTACCGAATGTTAATCACGTGATCAACTCATGCAAAATGCCTATTGTCCTCCTTTTGGTTTTATCCAATCGCGAACGGTTTTACTGATGCGCTGTCAATCAAACCCGATCACTCCACATGAAACGTGACTTGAGTTTTGATCCAAATTCTATTGAGCTGTGTAGCTCTTTTTTTCGGCTGTATTTCGATTTAGTTCTTTCACCTGTATTCCAATACAAAGTTTAGTGGGCGTTTTTTCTTTCTCCATTTCAGTACTTTACCAAGGCCGGATTTTCCTGGCAGCCATGGAGCGGGAAAACATTACCGACTTGTTTTGTTTTGAGCGCGCGCTCTACAAAGTTTTTATATTTTTAATTTTATGTTTTCTTTCATGGCGTATGCAAACTTTGCAAACTTTTATAGCGCCGCTTCAGGAGAATTCATATCTAGATATCTAAAAGTACTCTGCATAGCCTAAAAAGTGTTTTCAATGTATTTACGAGGAAACCGTCCAGGGGCACCCAACGACTGTTTTCTGTAAAACATCTGTTCTGCCTAGAATTTCTATTACTTGAGAACGGCTAAAAATTTTTCGCAGCTTACCTACTAAATTCCCTACGACTTTCTGAAGTTTAATTTTCGCATTTTACCTCCCAGGTCAGGCTATTTTTTGTAGAAGGAAGGGAAACCTACAATTTTCGGATTTAAAAATGTGGCGGAGAGGGGAATTAGAAAATGTCTCACTTTCGTAATACGTCAAATTTCATCTAAAATTTTCTGGAAAATAATACTTAAGCCCTTGTAATTTCGAATAGACGCAAGTTCCCCTAGGATGACCGAACAGATACAAATTTTACAGCGTCGCTTAGAATGCTTCAGTCTAGAGATCTAAAAGTACTTTGGTGTTTTCAATGCATTTAGGATAAGACAGTCGTTGGGAGCCCGTGGCAGCTTATCCGTTATATGTTTGTTTTGACATACTTTGAAAAAAAAACTTTTCACAGTTTTGATATTTCTTCACCGAATATCACCTCATCAGCTATTGAAGTACAAGTGTCACCCATCCCTGACGGTTTTTCCGTTTAACATCACTCGTTTTTTAAAGGGACGCAAATAGTTCGCGCCAAAATGACGTCACTTGATACGATAAACTCACATATGAGAGCTTAAAAAGTAAATTCAGTTTAATTCTCTTTGCCTACAATTATATTTGATGATCGGATACTCTAAAAAGAATCGAGAAAATTTTTCCGAGAGAGTGCTTTTGTTCAAAAGAAAAAGAAACCCGGGTTAAAATTTAACCCCGAATAAGCTCTAACCGTCGCTCGACCAACTGTGCTGGGCTCTGTAATACAACACACTCAAACCCCTTACCTTTTCTGGTCAGTTCGTCCAGTGAATTTGCAACAACACATTTTCTTTTGGTCCTGGACACATCCCATGCTTTAAACAGCGGCATCTTAAAATCGAAGGAGTTTTAACTGAACAGATTGTGATTGGGACTTGAGAAGAGAAGTGAATTTTACTCAGTAAATTGCCAGCCACCTCAAAGAACTTTTACAGGTCCCAGGCAGTGTCAGGCCGAGTTTGATTGACATGGAGCGGCCGGTGACAACTTTGGTTTGCCCAGCAACGTAATTTTGATTGGCCCAGAGCTCACAGTGAAAGTGACCTGAGTTTTCCCAACAATGCAATCTTAATTGGCATCCACAGACTCTACTATCATTGGGAGTAGATTTAAATGAAAAAATTTTGCATTTAAGTATGTCTACAGATAGACGACAAACTTTCGCAATTAATTATCTCAGTGAAAAGTAAAATTAGTAAAAATATACTATGCATATATATATATACTGATACAAATCTCGCAGTTAACTAATTGTCATTAACTGCGAAATGTCTCTCTGTTTATAGTAAGAAACACAAATCTCGCAGTTAACCATTTGTCATTGACTGCGAAATTTCTCTCTGTTTATAGTAAGAAACACAAATCTCTCAAATCTTCGGGCTCTCAAAACTTCCCGCGTGCATCCATAACTCATTATACATCCGCTAAGCATGAACAAATTCTCAATAGTCCGGCGTGCGCAACAGAATCAGAATCCGGTATCATTGTCAATCATAACGGGAAGTCGCGTCTATGCACTGAGTATTATTTGCGAGGTGTGCATTTGGACGAGCGAAGCTTGTGGACGTGTTCATCTTGCTACTTGCTACTTGAAATAATTGCTGTTTTTCGACCGTGATGGCAGTCAGTAGGAAGTTCCAATCTGTACTCTTTGTCTGCGGACAAACGTGGGAAAGTACGGTCCCTAAGGAGGAGGAATTGCTGGAACATTTTATGTGTGAGTATGAAAAAGCTTGCACGTGGTGTGCAACTTTTAAACTTAAGAGTTATATTTTTCCCATAATATCAAAGAAGCTAACCTATAGAGTAGAAATATTGATTCCGATCAGGGTATCCTCAGCTAATTAACGAAATGTTCTCGAAAACAGTATTTAGATAACTCCAGAATGCCATTAATCTTGCCATTGTAGAAAAAACAAACGTCAAATGGCACAAAAGACATCGGCACGTGAGCTCGAGGCCATTTCAGGTTTGTTGAATCTCGCGCAAGAGCAACTTTTTCGGCTGTTGCTGCAAGAGATCGATCGTCTCAAACATTTCACTGATTAGACTCCCTTGGACTTAACACGTTTCACCTAGTTCACCCAGTTGTAATTGACGAGTATTTTTTCGTTATGATTCAAGGTGTGAAAGTTAGAGTGAACATCGCAAAATTATAGTATGTAGAATTCAGGAAACAGCCACTTAAACTTTTTTTAAACTATCGAGCTTTATTTTTAGGCATGGGACAAGTAGTTTCAGCCGTGGTTAAAAAATACAACGGTGGGTGACACATTTTCCACAGTGATTGCATATACACTCAGTGCTCCAAGATAAGTGTTTGTCGAATCGCCTTTTGGCAAAATAAAGCTACCACATGGTCATCAGACAAATTATGATTGGTCAGTAAAAAGACACTTCATGCAATGTTGTAAGGGTATTTGTAATATTACAGCGACCACTGGTGTTGAAAACAAAATAGTTTGTCGATGATGTCTTTTTTTACGGTTCTCGCAACAGATATGACTTTTTTTATGAAAATGTTGCACAAAGTTTTTTAAAATAATTTGCTACACTGCAAACAAAAAGAAAACAATCTGATACAACAACACAGCTATTATGGCGATTATCGCAGAACACACGGTTGTTGCTGCAATTTGGCAAATTTCCCCTTAAGTTTATTTGCCATATTTCTTCCCAAATGGTATGTTGACCAAAACAGTTGCAGTTTGGATTGCTGATACATTTAATTAATATAATAAAATAATTATTTTTATTACTTTAACATGTGCTTCTCAAGAATTAGAGTTTTATTACCAGAATGGTTGCACTACTAATTAAAAGTGCACTTAATGAAACTTACATCACTGAATCCGCGAGTGGGCAAGATAAAAATGAATCCTCAGCCCATATTTCCTGCTCGGGATTGCCTGCTTTGTCCCGTATGATATTATTTTAATATAATATTTTGGCCAGAAATTATATTATTAATCCTTTGATATTGACAAAGATATAGCTGGATAGCCTCGTTCTTGCGTTTTTATTGATCTAGACTTTGCCTCAGTCAACAAAAAAGCCAAAATAATAATAATAATAATAATAAGTGCTTTCTTTAAATTCATTGCAGCTCAATCCAGAATACTGGACTGCAAGGGTTGAGTTTTGGACTCCCGAGGGAGCTGCTTTGACTTTTCAGAACCGGTTTTCAAAGGTACTACCTCTAAACTATTTTGATTTATTTTTTCCATGAATTTCTCTGCATATGCATGTAAGATCTAGTTGGATTTTTCTCACGGCATTGTTCCAAGTGATGTTCTCCGCTTGCATAAGCACTTAATTTCATTAGCTTATATGGACAACACAAACTTCTTTTAATCTTAGGAAAATTACCAGACATTTCAGGAATTCCTCTGTTGGTTACTGCATTCTGTAATATATTAACCTTTTTGCAGTTTTTGAGGGTGAAATTTGGGAGCAGTTTAATGTTTTATAATGACCTGCAAAAGTTTGACTGTTTGTAAATTAGAGTGGTTGATGCCAATGCGCTCTTTTTTTTGGTTCTGTTTGTTCATCTTCCCTTTGTTGATTTGATTAATCAGAGTAATAAATTATTATTAACAAAATCATTTTACTTTTAGGATATTCGGGTATTTCACGGGGGTTTCATTCGAATCGACTATTATCAGCCCAAGAAAGTGAAAGCAATTGATAGTATGGTGAGTTGCAAGTTGTGTTATAAATGTTTCAAATGTTTAAAACATGCTTCCCATCCATGTGTTCGTCAAGCATTAAATGTATCGTTTTTTTTTCTCCTCACGCCATAGGTTGGGCAAGCCCCTGTTACCAGTAAATTCCAAAATGTCATGAAAGCGGCAAGTGTTTGCTAATTATCATATCATATTTTATATTATCATTAATATTGGGAAAAATATTACATTTTATTATATAAACACCAATGAAATACCAGCTGAGCTTTCGCGCAAAAACTTCAGATATCTTCACATGTGAAAATATCACCGTTGCCATGGCTTCACAATAAATCGCGCCTTTCACACCAAAAGCTATTAAAGTCAAATGGTTTTGTATTTCGTATCTCGTGTTTTTGTATCTCGTGTTGAAAAAAATATTTCACGAGTGAGCGCAGCGAACGAGTGAAATATTTTTCAACACTCAAAGAGAAATTTTGTATCTCCGCGCGGACATGTAATATCCTCTATTAATGGGAAAAATTTATCAGTTTAATTCCAAGACGTTGTGTGTGTACCTGAAATTTGTCCGAAAACTATTAAATTAATTCTATTTTGCATGTAAAATACGGATTAAATGACAGTCAGTACAAAAATATCAAAATATCAATATCATTAGATTTCATCAACCTTAATTTCAAAAGTTTTATGTCATTATGTCTCTGCAATACGGTAAAAAAAAATTAATACAGTTTTTTTAAACCCCTCTCCAGGGCTCAGCTCTAAGGGCTCCGGGCGCCTAACCTTTTCTTTATTGATTGATTGATTTATTTGGGGGGCACCCAACGTCAATTTTTGGAAAATATCTGATCGGAAGACGATTTGAGATCTAGAATTTTCGGAACATTTGTGGTAAAATTTCTTGCTTGCCTGCCTCTCCTAGGATCTTCCAACATCTAAAAGATGGTATAATTGCCCATTTTTAACGGATTTTTACCCTAAAAAAGTCATCTAGAACTTTCGGGAGCCTTTTTTCTGGCTGAAATTTTCGAAAAGGTAAGTTTTGATCCCTATAAATTTCGGGTCACTAGACTTTTAGCTAAGAAATCCGAACAGATGAAAAATTTTTAGGGGATAAAAATATCCCTACATATACCGTTTCAATACTAAAATACGTTCAACAGTGCTATGTTTAATTGGTTTTGAACTACATTCCCGTTGGGTGCCCCTGTTATTTATTGTATTATATGATAAGCTTTTACTGATGGGCACCCTGTGTCATGTTGTTCAGACCCGTAATTATTAACTCGTGATGTTTACAAATTGACTCCTTGTAGAATATTTATGAGTTTGAAGGAAGTGTCATCAAGGCTCACCATTTCAACCTTGGGTATTTACCAAAACAACTGAGGGTCAAGGTGTGTTGATTCATAGTAATCCATGTTATTATGCAAAGGTCGTACATTCTGAATAAAAATGTGAAGCTTACATGGGGATCTTTTAACCGTAAACACACGAAATATTCTCTCAATTTGCGCCGAAAAATCCTACATAACCGTTAACTACAACTGAAAGCCTATCACTCTTTTTAATAAAACAATGCAACCAACGGCGAAGCCGCAAGGGACCGGCGAAAGGAGAGCTTGCAACCATCCCTTACAAATTTTCATTTCTACTTCTCCCAGACGAAGGGAAATACCATTGGCTGAAAAATGACGTTCCGGAAATCAAAGTTGATTGCTAACAGGCTAAGCTGGCACCCGCTTCGTCTGTGTGTCAAATTTGGTTCTCAGGGGGATCAGATTGGTACCGAGAACTTGTTTCAGCCCTCAAGGCAGACGGGCTCGTTTGATGTAATTCTCGTAAAGAGAATATTGCGAGCCGAGGATAAGTCGGATCGAGTTTGTAGTTCTTGTGGAAGGACAATGAAAACCCTTCATCACTGAGTTGTATTCGTTTGTGTCAAGCACTTTGTGTAGTTCTGAAAACCGGGAGAGTGAAAGTGAAGAGTGATTCAAGCGCTGTTTTCCAACATCGATTTCTTCGCCCGGTTGAATTCTACTGGGTAGAAAACTGTCACTTTTCTAATCTGCAGCACGTTTGCGGTGACAGTTTTCACGCTTTGCGGGGGTTTCCGGGGTGGAAATGAAAATTCATGAGAGATCGATGCAAGCTCTCCTTTCGCCGGCCCCTCGCGGCTTCGCCGCTCGCTCGCGCGTTCTCGCGAGACTCGCTTCACTCGCCCAAATAGGAGAGCTTGCTCGCAGGCTATTAAAATTTCAACATTTACTCCTGATCACACAATACCCGGCCAATTAAGCGTAATTTGATGCCACTTTCGATTTCTCGAACTCCAAATTTCTCGAACCAATTTGCGTTCACCCTGAAGGTTCGAGAAATCGGGATTCCACTGTAACAGTTTTTGCCCGCGCTTGCCAGAAAAAAATTAAACCACAACAGTCTGGCCTGTAAACATACTGTCACAGTTACTCGCTTAAATTTCTCAAATGAATAACACATCAAGATGATGACGTTGAAATAGCCTAGTTCAATAAATGTAGGATTTTTTGTCAGCAGCTATAAGAGAGGAAACGGAACTGTTCGATCGTAGCAATGCGGTTATAACGCGACGTTTTGGTTCGTTATAACACGCGCCGCTTTACTTCAAATCCCTCCCCTCGTCGTTGCATGCCTTCGTGATCCACGATGAGGTACATTTCTTTTGGAGAAATCCATGCATTGGTGCTTAAGTTGTCGCTATGTACCAAGTGATAGATTAAACGAACAAACATAACTTGGGCCAATTTAAGTCTGGTTTTCATATGTCGGGAAAATCCAAGAAGATCGGGGATTTTACTTTTTGCCGACCGTCCCAGATATATCTCCCTGATTCTCCCGATGAATTTGGCCGGAAATGGAAAGTGTGCCAAAAATTGAAACTTGGGTGATAGGGGGACAATTTAGGGGATTGGTAATGAGCGAAATCCATCGCCGACGTCCCCCATGACACAAATTTGAGTTTTCATCTATCGGGAATGATCGCCGACCATCGCAGAAATCTGGGACGCGTCGGGAAAATAGAAACGTTCCCGATTCTCCAGATTTGTCCCCGTCTGATCCCAGACGTTCGGGAATATCTACGATTTCGAGTTTTCATTAGTCGGCAAAATCTGGGACAGTCGGGACGCAGTAAAATCCCCGATTGTGTTGCAAATTAGTCTGCAGTTAGTTTGTAGTCCGTAAAACAGATCTGTCGCAGATCTGCTGGTTTCGTAATAATTTAAGCGGTGTCGTGGTCGTTACTTACGAACACAGGCGGGAAACGTGCAAGTACATGTATGTACATATACATCTTAACAATTTTCACTCTTACTTATTCTATGTTATTGTACTTCACCTAACTCTGTCCTAAATTATCTTCATTTAAGTTTGTAATTTATTTCGCTGGAAATCCTCTTGTAACTATTTCAAGCATGTGAATTTAATGAGAGTCCTTTTTTATCCCTACAGAATAAAGAAGTTTTCCTATTGAAGAGAAGAAGAAGAAGAGGGTAAGTTTTATGCCAACTATTTTGGTTACAATCCAAGGATGTATTAACATGTGATCGGGTCCAACTTTTCCCAGTGTTTGACATCAAGAGACCTGAGGCACTGACATCATGTGGGCAATGAAAAGCACACAATGGAATTAACCATCAATGTATCTGTTCCTAAAATTCATGTTTAATTTTCCGCCACTTTCTGCAGTTGTAACATTTCGTTTCAAAACAACATATCTTTATGCTCTATTCTTAATCATATTTGAACTCTGGACTCACATTGGACAAAAAACCTGTTGCGTGTATGTTTAAGGGGTTAGAGTGGGGGGCATTGACAAGTTATAACAGAAAAGCTAATTCTGTGGAATATACGCTTAACCTTTCATTGATCAAGAGCACCGGTCGTGTACCAGTATAAACACAAGTGTGTGTCTTACACTATGTTTTGTGAGATGTGATTTTGAAATATGACTAATTTAAACTTGTTATTAATGTAAGTTTATTCAATCTTTCAGATCTCCAAAAGGTCAGATGCAGGTGATGTTAATGTCCAAGAGGATTTAGTGGAACTGATACGTTGGGCCAAGTCTCTGGACAACGGACAAGTTGGGGGAGAAAAGGGTGGTTCAACAACCTTTTCAATGAAAACATCGAAATTGTTTTCACCCAATGCCCGGGGCGAAATTCCTGGCGCATTCCGCCTTCCAAGGCAGCCAGATATTAAGCACATGAACTTGGAGCCAAATCTTTTTTTGGCTGGAGGAGAAGTAACTAAACTTAGAGGTGGCGGGGATGATGTTATGTTTAGCAAAGAACTCGTCGCTCGTAACAGCGCTAAGGATAATGACGGGTGTGAATGGAAAATGGTACACTTCATACCATTGTCATGTCATCAGGGAAAAGTGATAGAAGTAGCAGGGGAGCTGTTTGCTGAAGGGTGCGCAAGAGGAGAAACTCCAGCAAAAAATCTTATCAAAATTGTTGAAGACGAAATTGAAAGTAAAGATGGTACAAATGCGTGCTCCTTTCTTTCAGTGAAGATAGTAGACTCTTTGGTGGACGCCAACCCTGAACTTTTTAAAAGGACTGCTTCCGATGTCAAATCTATTGTAGAGAGAATAATAACCTCTTTTCCCACTGAAATTAATAGTTTTCGCGACAAAAGCAAATACTTTTCAGTGGATGAAGCGTACTATATTCTTAACGAACACAAGTTACTGTCACGCCAATATACGTTTAAAGAACTATTGTCTACTGCTCGAGAAGGCCAATCCGCAGACGGGGAGATTGAAATAGTGCAAGCTTTGAAGCAAATGGCTCATCGAAGAACAAACATACTTTCGTTGTACACATGCCCACCTATAATATTTGCTTTGATTCATATATATGACAAGGACCAGGGCAACTTTCTAGTAATTGATACGCACAAAATACCAGCAAAAGTTGGAGGAAATGGCAACGGTGTACTTGCATGCGTAAATTATCAAGCGGCGAACCTAAATGATGCCATAATGGACCTTGCAAGGTGGATCCGAGAAAGAATTTCTTCATCAATAATGGAACCTTCTCGCCAGTCTTTGCTTGAGCTAGAGGCAACTCAAGTTGTTTCTGAGGAAACGTGGACTTTTCAAGTGAGGAAGAAAAAAGCGAGTGATGATTATTTGAATTTAGCACAAAGTGATGCGGAAAGCCTTAAAAATACGAACTGCGTTTGGTCATCAACAGGGCAGAAAAATTTGAACGTTGGAGAGAATTTTGATTCGTCTAAGATACTAACGAACAAAGAAAAAGCACAAAAGATCTTAGTAAATTTTCAGCCGCTACTTTTGGCAAAGATAAATGACTCTAATACGGCCTTAACACAAAGAAATAATGTAGACGTGGTATCTAAGGGATTATTACCATTGGACTTCAAACAATGGGTACCACTTACAGTTTCTGCCGACGGGAACTGCCTTTATAATGCAGTGTCCATTTCATTGGTGGGTGACCTCTCAGTGGCTGCCCTTTTGCGTATGCTGACTGCGTCGGAACTATTTGCTCATTCTGAATTCTACTCCAAGCACCCGCAACTAGGGGACTTCTCAAGGGTCTCCAGATATTCCCTGTCTTCTATTATCTCCATTTTTCTTAGTGAAAACAAAGCACTAAGTGTTTTTAATGGAAACAGAAACAAAGTGTCCAGAGCAATTGAGACCATGGCCCAAGTAACAGCCAAACCATATGTATTTTCATCAGCATTCAACATTCTTGCCCTGGCGTCTGTCATAAGACGACCAATATTTGCGGTTCATCCAGACGAACCCACAGCACTTCGCATGAAGTTGGCCACTCACGGTTTCTATTACCCAAGGGAAGCTCTTACTGCTGGTTCTGATCTTGATAGTATTAACAGTGATGCGATCTATGTCATGTGGACCAGAACAAACCGACTCCCCATCAATCCCTGGAAACCGAACCACTTCGTTCTCCTCAAGAAAAAAACTGACGCTTTTCCAGGAAAGAATTACGCTGTATCTGCTGCCTCTGAACGAAATACCTCATCTCCAAGTTCCTCCTGTCCGGACACTGTAGAGAGTTCATTGTCTAAAACAAAATGGCATTTACCGAAAGTAGAAGATCGTAGTGACAGAAAAGTTCCTAACAATTCACCAAACATAATTAAATCGGGTAGGCAAAAACGGCTGTTCGATCAGAGTGATGCAAATAAAGAACATGGGCAGCCTCATAAAAAGGCCAAGATAAAATCTTTATTGGATGCGAAACCTAAAGATGAAATAGCGGGGGAGCCGTGGATCACATACTCATAGCAATCCTGCAGATATAAATGACGAAGATGTTTTACCTCTTAAGGGGCCAGGGTTTCGCTGGTATGCGAAAAGGGGAATTACTTACAATTCAAACTTGGCAAGATCAGAGGAGCGGACTAAAAATGCTGTCATTATACAGGATAATGAAATGAAAGGACTAATACGTGGAAATGCTAAAGGGTCTCTGGCTCAAAATGTTGAAGATCTTTTAGAGAGACTGAGTACTGCCGGGTCCTCAAAACAACATGCCCATCTGAGTACTATGATAACTCTCATGAGTCACATTATGAATAATGGATTGATAGTCCCCACCCAAGATCTTGCGAAAAAGTACAAAGAACTGAAGCGTTTGAAGGAGTCGACCCACCTTGAATCTTCGTGTTTACTTGAGATTATGTCAAAACACTTAAATGTAGCACAAATTTATATTGAAGGGAAAGGCTACATTATAGAGAACCATGGCAGAGAATTAGCCAAGGTTGTTGAGTCACTTCAACAACTGAGAGAATCGGACCAGTCAATAGTGAATAGAAAAGTCGAGGAGGCCGTTGGAAGCACGTACGAGACTCTATTAAAATATCTTGATACTAAAAGAGACCGTGACACCGTCAAAGCTATTCTGGCGAAGATTACCAGTGCGAAGTGTATGGCCAAATTAGCCAATGTGCAAGACAAAAGGAGTTTCTCGCACTCGAAGGGTCTTGTTTTCAGAAACCTTTATTTGTTCGAGGAAATGAAGCAAGGGATTGAGGTTACAGAGCCGACAATGAGCGAAGAGGCAAGGAGAAAAAAATGCAATCGGCTTCTCCAGAAAATGAAAATTGAAAAACTGCGCCACATCTTCAAAGGTAGAGGCAGAAGTTTAAAGTGTGAAGAATTTCCCGATCTGGCAGGGATTTTGGAGTTTGCTTTTGGAGAAGGTGATCGTGTGGACAGGGCGGGTGGGGGACTTGAAAGTCACCCCAGACTAACTGACACGGTGCTTTATAGAGCGGCCGACAGTAACACTATCATGAGACATGCGCGGGAGACTATTCTTGCTTTAGCTCCTGAGGGTTTTAAAATCAGCTTGTCCACCTGCTTCAATTACACCCAAAATTACCGCGAGGGAACGTACCAGGCCAGAAGACACCATTCAGGAAGAGGTATCAACGCCTGTCTATCCTTGCACAAACCACCTAGAATTGGGGTTGAGCAATTTGTTATCAATTTACACTGGTCCACTCAGAATGTGAATCTCACATTGGACATGGCTCATTCGTTTCCCAATGAAATTTTAGTTGACTCAAAGGACGCCAAGGCGAAAATAAGCGCCGACGTATCACCTGTTCAGAAACCCGGAAAAAGTTGGCGGAAAATAATCCTCCCCGATCACGACTGGAATAGATCCGCTCAAAATGCAATCACACCAATGAGTCACCTGTTTATACAGACAGATTTGACTCTTGAAGACCAAAAGGAACAAAATCTTGTCTACAGCGTTCGGAGAACAGGCGCAGCAGCTACTCTTTTAAATATATCCTACTTTGAGCCTGAAACCGTACACCGAGTTTTCAATGAAATCTTTCTTCTTTTAAGAAATCCATCACTAGATCATCTGTTCAGAAACCCAGACACTGGCAAATTAAAAAAACACTTTGCATTCATCGTGGATAATGGTCCATCAGAGGCCCCGTCGAACCCTTTGGTGCAAATGTGGCTGGTTCGTTTAGCAAGGGTATTGAAACTGAAATCAGTAACACAAAAGTCTTTTGCAGAGTACCATAGTAAAAGAAATCTAGTAGAACGAGTCCACGCTGTTCAGAATCATGCCCTGTCAAATGAGCAGTTTTCAAGCAAGGGAATTTATTCCGAGTATGAAAAAGGTGATGAGAAACACAAAGCTAACATGGAGCACATGGCCGAGGAAGTAAGGAAGTGTCTAGCCAGCACGCAATATGGTGGAAAGGCATGTACCGTTATGCGCGGAATCGGCGGACAAGAAAATTTCGTATTCAACGATGAAGAACATCTGGTCACATTTCTCGGAAAGAATGAAAACCGAAAGGCGGATGACATCCTTCAGTACCAGCCCATCAAAAATGATTTATGGAGGGAGGTTTCTATTGTATGGGACCTGAATGAAAATTACACCGGGAGTTACCGGGAGGACTATGAGATTATTCAGAACAAATTTCACGAAGATGGTCAGCGAACATGCTGGATGGACAAATACTCTACCACGATATTCAACCCTGATGTCGAATGCGATTCAGGAATTGAGGCCTTCACCTTTCAACCTCTACCAGATTACATCAGGTGGATTCTAACTGGCGGTGAACTGCATTACCTCCCTCTGGAAAAAGTTCAGAAATTGGTCACACAGGTAGTTGCTGATACACCTGGAGCATTTCTTCCCTCGAAAATATTGGAAATGATGTTCAAAGTTTTCTCACACGGTACAGACAATATTTTGTCAGGCATTTCGTTTCTAACCTGGTGCACCGAAAAAGACGTCACTACGTTTTTTCAAAATTACAAAGAAAAGCTTGATAAATCATTTGTGAGTGACAAAGAAAAAGAGTACTGGTCCCAGGACGAACTTTATCAGTGCAATAGCAAAGAGCAGCTTGAGGAGTTGTGCCGTAAAGAGAGAATACCAACGGAAGGGAAAAAATATGATTGCGTGAAACGTCTCGTGGAGAAGATGGGTTATGAGAAACCACCCCCGCTTGAAGAGTACAACGGAGATCTCAGTTCTTTACCAGATTCCATCACAGATATAGCTAAATTGTCCATTTATAAGTTGAAAGAAATCTTACGATTTCACAATGTTCTAGATTGTGGTACAAAGGACGAACTCGTTGTTCGCGTCGGCATGGTGAGAGGAGGAAGAAAATACTTGGCCTTCCATCGAGAATTAGAAGCCATTCGAAATCTAATTACGGCGACCAGATCCATAATAACCGCTGAAAAAGAGTTGTACTTAGAAGATCCAAAAGTGATACACAAGAGAAGGAAATTTTTTACGAAATCCGGTCCCTCAGTGAATACAGTGAGACCCAGAGATAGTGCATCCATCCCTAATCAAAACCAGAATGCGTTCCTGGAAGTACCGAATGGTTTATCTTTGGAAAATCTCGAGGAGGCCTTGACTCCTCTGAGTAATGAACTTTTACTATATCAAAAGCAACAACAGCAAAACATTGCATCATGTGAAAAAGTTACCCTTGAAACCGTTCTGGAAGCAGTAAGGTCAGTAGGTACTAGAGTTCGAATATTATGGGAGAGGGATGAAGTTGGAACATCGGGATGGAGAACGGGTAAGTAAACGCTTATTGCGCTAGAGTAGAGATATTTTATTGTTAAATTTTGTCGTGTACGTAAAGCATTATAATTTTTATTCCATTTTATAAATGAAACTTGAATAAATGACGTTTCATCAAGACTTTGTACAAATATATAAATTGAAAACCAATTTGGTTAACACAAACGTTAGCTTAGCCCTTCGCACAAGAATTTTCAAGATCTGTTCAGGATTCAATTAATGATCTTCATGAACTAAAATGCAACTTTTTTCGAAGGTTGGTATGTGGGAACTGTCAAGAACTTCTTGAAGGAGACCGATACGATCGAAGTCGAATTTGACACCGAGAAGGGAGTCAGTTATCAATATTGCGTGGAAAAAGAGGTCAGGGCCAGAAAAGTAAAGCTTGCAAGATCAGCAGAAAAAAAACTGGGGAGGTACGAGGAACTCACAATGATTGGTGCGATTGTAGAAGTAAAGTGGACGGAGAATGACCTAGCAAACACAGGGTGGTCAGCTGGTAGATATTATTTTCTTGTTATCTCTTATGGTATATCTGCTCCCTACTGTTTGAAAGCTGTAATTTCTTTCTACGTTAGCCCGGTTGTTTTTGTTGTATTTTACAAGTTTTACATTTTGTGATTTCGATTTAATGTTGTAATGAATTATCCTTACGATAACCTAAAATTCTATTGTTGCTAGAATTGTTGCTTTGCAACAATAGAATTCTATTGTTGCTTTTGCAGCAATAGAACAATAGCAGTCTTGTGACCGTAGGGATGTTTTCTCTGTTTAAATATTATTACTTTTTTTTTTAATGGAATTTTTTTCCGAAATTAATAAGTGTCTTTTATTTAATCGAAAGGAATAATATAAATAGTGCTTTGCCTGAATAGTTTTTTAAGTGAAATTAATTGTAAATAGGATTTTATAGTTAGCTTTGTTATCAATAAAAGGTTTGGGTTTTATTAAAAAAATGTTTTTTCTTTAATACTACTAATCACAATAATAATAATAATAATATTATTATTATTGTTGTTGTTGTTGTTGTTGTTCTATAAAGTGAAGGACATCTAGAAAAGTAAGAAAAGTTATTACAATACATTTAAGAAGAAATCATTACTTTTTTCTTGTAATTTTATTTATAAGGCCTGCATCTCTGTTGATGATATTAAATGTCCTCTTTATAGGTTGGTACGAAGCAGAAGTACAGTCATTCGACAGCGACGATGACGAAATATCCATAGTTTATGCAGAAGAGCCTGAATTTGTCTACAGGATGCCTGTCCTTCCCAGCATTGTATCGGGGACTCTTCGACTGAAACAAAGCCTTTTCTAGAAAAGGCTTTGTTTCAGTCGAAGAGTCAAGGCGCCAGGCGTCAGGCGCCAGGTCAAGCGTGCACCAACAGATTTCATTAGGAAACACGATTACCTGAAAAATAAATCCGTTACTTTTTGCCAAAACCGGTACTGAATTCAAATCTGAATTCTTGCATGCATAATGAGCAGTAGATTATTTCCGCCAGACTGAACAATGTTTGAATGGATAAAATGCCTTTGAAGACGTTTATATGAAAATCAAGAACAATGAGATGGAAGAAATTTCAGAACTATGGAGGGTACGCTTAGCTCACAGGCAAACCAAGCTTGAATGGACTTACAGAGGTTACGCACTGGAGCCAAAAAGTCGACTACATCGATTAATTCACACCAAAACAAACAGAAATATATCAAAGATAAATCTTATGTCTCATTTATTTTATTGATCAAAAGGTAAAATGTAACGATATTTAGGGTTCGCAGACCTCAGTACTTTATTTCTCGTACAAATGCAACACTCTCTTAATGTGAGCTTGGGTCGCCTGTGCTTGACCTGGCTTGACAGTATCGGCCCTGAGGAAACTAGCGCAACAAATCGGGTGTAACAGATGCAACATGTTGGTAGCGATCACTTGTAAACCACGTTAATTAGGTGAATTTTAAAAACTTACTTCTGTTGTTCTAGATTTGAGTTCGGTGAAGCATGTCGATGATGTTGAATCATGCTGCGCAGTGATCCTCAGTTTAGTAATACGTTATACACTGCACATGAAAATCATTGCACGAAGAAATAAAAGGCCAGAGAATTTCTTACATGTCTTTTACAACCACTTTTAGTCGAAATTACGTTGCTAAAACAAATTTATAAAAGACCCTTTCACTATAACTACGTATATATGTATTTTTAATGTTTTATTACAAAGTAAATTACAAGGGAACGATCAGGGGGAGAGGTTAGGTGAGAAACATCTGTTAAGGCAATTTCTGACCGATAACTACTTAGGGAAATACTACTTAATCTAAATTTATTTCTAAGGGGTATTGAGGAGAAATAAATTTGTTCATTGGTATTTCTAAGGGGTATCTAGGAAAAAAAACTCATCCATAGGTATTTCTGAAGGGTATCTGGGAAAACGCTACTCGTCCATGGGTATTTCTGAGGGGTATCTAGGGAAAATAAACTCGTCCATAGGTATTTCCGAGGGTCTGTAAGGGAGATCACTATATTTTCCGAGGGGTGCTCAAGGAAAATAAGATATTTCCAAGGGGTCTAAGATAAAAACTATATTCTGAAGGGTTAATCAGAGACATCTCGTCCATAGCGGGGGTGTGGATATTAAATGGAATGGCCCCTGGTACGCGGCAAGTTTATGGCAAGAGGTAGTGACTGGATATCTTTTAACACTTTCCAAAGATACAACAGCTCACAAGGAACCCAAAAACTCTTGATTTCAAGAAGAACGTCACATGTATTAATATCTATTTAAACGGAGTTCTTCTGAGGTACGGCTTTACAGTAGGTAGCCTGCGAACGCAGGCGTATGCTTATTTCCGAAGCGAAGACGTCTGCTTTCGCAGGCTTGGCTATAAATGCATGATGCGAGTTGATTTTCTCACAGCCCAACCGTGCTATGAAGGAATCGAAAGTTCCTATTACCAATACAAATATCAAGCAGTGTATTATGGGGAAATTTTTAGAAAACTTTCTTTAATTATAGTGTCTACTAGCTGTAAAAATTGTCAATATAAACGGATATATTAAAATTGCTACTCTTAATTTTTCCATTTCTAAAACGGATACTGAAACAACCAATGATTCACAGCTATTGGCAAGATGAAAAGAACAAAAAATATAGAGTATTCATGTACTGTTGCTGAATAAAAAAGCCAAAAAGATTTAATGATGTCTGTGGTCTGTTTTAAAACATTCTAAGTGTTTCCCTGGAATGCTTGAAATGCATTCTAAGAGGCCCACATTTCAAAATCTTACAAGGGGAAAGCCTCCGGACTCCTCTAGAAACCTCGCCGCCTTGGTACTTGCAAGTTGCACCGGCGGCATGAGTTTGTTCCTTCTCCACCTACTCCAAGCTTTTGCCACCTACTTAAAACTTTACTGAAAACTCTGGATCACTCAAAATATCCGCCCGTAAGGCCTTTTTACCTGTATTCCATGTCATGCCGTTTGGTTCAGATTTTCTCTTTAGTGGTGGAGCCAGGATTTTGCGTTTAACCACCAGGCTGCCCTAAGCCTGGGTAGCCGGCATTAAAAGGGGACGGGGCAATAGTCCAGTTTCGAGTTCCCTATGACTCACTTTATATCGTGGTTAACTCTGAATGAATTTGTTGTTAATGCTTGTATTCAGCGGTAATTTTTAATTCGAAACTGGACTATTCAGGCGCATGAGAACGCCGCAAGGGGCGAGCGAGGAGGAGGTAAATAGAGATTTTCCACCTTCTCCGTCTCGTGAGCACGAACGCTTTTAGCGCCTGTCCCCTGTGCAGGGTAAAGATATCTACTTTAAGTGATGACCCTTTGCATGGGTACCCTGGCTACTAGAGGTTTTTTTTTCTCGCGTGCGGCTGCCTAGTCTCCCTTCCAGCCGTTTTTTGGATGTCACGCAAAGCTGCCCCTAGAGTAGGAGCGTTGCGTGACATCTAAAAACGGCTGTGAGGAAGACTAGCGGCTCTTGGCCGGTGTCGGCCGCAAGTCAGATCTTTGGCCAAAGGTCGAAGTCACGCGCAAGAAAAGTCTCTGGCAACCAGGGTATTGCCTGGGTTACAAGCCGATGAAAGCAACATTTCGCTTAGCCTTGCCTCGGTTACTTATAGAGCGACTGCTGTAGGTGCGCATCGGCAAGAATTCGAAACCATCGTTATCAGTTGTAACGCCTTTCAAAAGAAGGAAAAGACGCCGAGGAAAACGGAATAAAAAAGTATTCCAGTTAAAAATCGGTCGTTGACGAGGATGGGAGAAGCGATATCTTTCCTCCGTGAACGATGGCTTTTGGAACGAAGTCTTTTTTTATTAGTATTTTTTTTAATGTGAAGCTCGAACATTTCTTAAATGTGGGTTCCACTTTAGTGTTTCGTTTCTCAACGCCAGGTCGACCAGTATTAGAACTGAATAACAAAAATCAGAATTCCTTCAATCTTATTACTCAACGGCACAACTTCCTATTCGAAAACAAACGTGTCGCTTGGTTTTTTTCGGTACCAGTTTGATTCACGTAGGAAAAGTGAATCCAATGTCATATTTAGAGGAAAAGCTACTTACATAGCAATTTTTCTTAAGCCTTAAAACCCGCAAATCAAAATTAAAATTCTCATTTGTCGCCCCTATTCATTAACTATAGAAGTAGTAGGGAGAAGTTGATAAAATGTCAAGCAAATACATCTTTTGTGATCATGTCCTTAATTCTCATGACCACTCTGTTTTACAAAGCATTGCTATTACAAGGAGAAATTTGATGCTGATCACTCTTAGGGTTTAAAGGGTTAAACATCTCTTGCACTTCGTACCGCGTCCTAGTTTTGACAGTCCATTTGTGCCTGACCAACAAACTGACCCGGCTTTTTACGAAAGAGAGGGTGATTGGGAACAAAACACTTGAAAGACATTGAAGGATATGGCGTTCTATCTTGTTACGTAACAAGGCCCTCTTAGAACAAGGTTCCATGGTTGGTCCTGTCAGATCGGTTGCACTTTTTTGCCCGACGAGTGAATTATACTTTTCTATCAGTGGCACATTTTTTCTCTCTTAATTGTTTAACGACTGCAGGTTTATCCTGATTTTCCAATGAAGTATATTGATTTCTTTGAAATTGTCATTTAAAAGCGTACAATTTTCTAAAACTATGTAAAAATCAGATCGCCAAATCTGGTGGGCGCACTAGGCGAAATGTACACGTTCGTCCATAGTTTCTTAGCCGTTAATTTTGAGCTCAATCATCCTCTATGAAACAGCCAAAATATAAGCGCGTAAAGAAAGATTTCACCACAGAAAAAAAATTCTTTAGTTTGATTTTATGTTTCATTCTTGTAGCGCAGCACTCTGGATTGGTGAAAAACAACCGTGATAAATCACCTCAAAGCCCTAATTTAATTTTTTTTATTGATCAAAAAAGCAATTGATATAAAAAAATTCCACACCCACGACTTGTAGCCCGTTCTCTCATAAGTCAGCTGGTTTGACCTTCTGCTTTTTCAGTGAGGATGTGGACAAAATCCCCAGTTACCAGTTAAGCAGAACTTCAATGATGCTTTTCATTTCTTACGATTTTACCGAAATATATTTTTGGATAAATTTCACTTCGGCAACTAAAAGAAGTAAGGACAAAACAAAAAGTCAAGACTAAATCAGACATAAAGTCGCAAGAACTACTTTTTCCGACCAAGAGGCTAATTGCAACCTAAAACAAAGTGTAAGACATGATTAATCTGTTTCAAATAGCAAACAGAAAATAATATTGTGATTACAAAGATACTCCTGTCAGTATTCACCCTTTTTTTAAGAATATGTTTTATAAGAATATCGAGGCTGAAATTTGCAACATTTTAAGAATAAATTCCGGGCTGCGATTTCGAAAAGGATATTAAATTGAGCTGGTTTTGAAACCCAACTTGACCGTATACCCCTCCATTATTATTCAAATTATTTCTTTCTCTCATCGGCAAAACTACCCAGCAAAACGAAGAAACCTGCACTAGCTATTGCCACTGTAAATGTTCATTAACTATTTTCCAATTGCCCATAATACACTCTGTTTGCCCCCCCAAATTTTGCATAACTTATTGTCTTAAAATGCTCTTGGGAAAATGCAATACTCCCAGGAGCATTTAAAAACAATGGTTTATGCAGAATTTGGGGGGCAAACAGCGTGTATTATGGGCAATTGGAAAATAGAGAATTGCTAATGACAGTTCGATGAACGAACTACATATCTGTAGTATACCGCACAAAAGAATGAGTAAACAAAAAAGTGTATGATAAATTCTTTCTTTTTCAATTATAATTTTTTAAAGAATAATACGAGAATATTTTTAGGCCAAAATCGACAAAAAATTAAGAACATTCACCCTGGGCCGAAAAAACAACATTCTTATATACAAAAAAGAGTGTATCATCCTACTGCATTTTTATCGTTAATTTTTCGGATGCTTCCATTTTTCTGTTCCGATTTGTTTTTCCGCTTTGCTGTAGCGATTTTATTCTAGCTCTGCAATTAGAACTGAATTTTTAAACATGGCAGTGGAGGATCCAGAGGAGGGGCCCGGGGGGCCCGGCCCCCCGTATTTCAGACCAAACTGAGCCCTGAAGGGCCGAAAAAAATTTTTTTGTAGACCGCCTCCCCCCCCTTACCTAAGGGTCTGGATGACTTCCCCCCCTCCTTATCTCAAGGTCTCGATCCGGCACTGTTTTGTTTTTCTCGCTCTCGTTTCGAATTGGCAAGAGAGCTTGAACCTGACCAAGATGAAAACGTCGTTAATGAAATTCAGCATTCTACTCAGTCGATTGCGTTTCTTTAACTTCTTTCAATTTGTAACTAAAATGCCGAATATTTTTCATGTCTGACAGGATACGTTATCTGATATAGACGTGCTCATTGGACCTATTGTCACTGTCCTGTTTGTCTTCTATAGAGTCACGGGTATTGAGTGAACTGTTTTACGCGTGGACACACAACAATAGGGATCTCAGGCAACCAGAACTGCGACGGCACCAATTACAAAAACATTGACAAGAAAAACAACAACTCTGTTCTTGCATCATACTTTTTGCTACATTTCTGTGGAGGACGTTATAAACTTCTCTTTTTATTTTTCCTGAACTTGAAAACGGCACAATTCAGCTCCAGGAAAATTTGGCATACTGAACGAAATGGAATTATAGCGATGAAATTTGAAAGAGCTTGAATGCATCTTTTAATTGTCGTTTTCGTTGCGTAAGCTTTCTGTTTGCAATTACACTCGTGATAAGCTCGTTCGCTATTTGTGAGTCGATAAATGCGCGCATGATATTTAACCTTCGAAACTCGCGTGATTGGTTGACCACTGGTTCACATTGTCACACTGATTTCAGTTCTGCACTTCAGATTTTAGCTCAACTTGCGCTTTTGTACTCTGTTGATGTCAGATCCTTGAGGAGAGGGATTTGTTGTTTTGATTTCTTAAATATCTTAGCCTGACTGAGTTTAAACTGTGAAAAAGAAGAGAAACCTTGTCGGGTAAGTATGCAAATTTTACACGTGTCATAAAGAACTTGAGATTTCACATCAATATTTTATTTTCCCTGTTTTCTCGTCGCTTTTCTATCCTTTCTTAAAGCTGTATACGGAACCAACACTATTATATACCTAAAGAATATCAGAGGAATTTGAACACATGAATTTCTCGAAAATGAAGCCTAAAACAAAGGATCATATGTAAAAATTTGGATTATTCATGAGACGCAGCTCAGATATCTCTGTTGCGCCGAAATGACTTTTTAGTTGCTGTTTTTTGTTTTAAATCGTAAGTGGTTTTGATTTTAATGTTAAGAGGTTTGTTGAAGACCCGGGGTGAAGATTATTAAGTAAAAACCTTCATATGGTTGTTATGGAAGTATTCGGTTTTCTGGATTTGAGATTTAGGGTGCGAAACTAAAAGAGCAATAATAGATTTTGTTTGCTTTGAGTTCTCTAAGACAAATTAAGGCTATTTTTGATTTTATTTAAGGGATTATAAACGCTGCTTGTAACAGTGCACTTCAAGCATAAACGAAATTCTATAATTATTTAAATTATATTGTGCGCTAAATGTTTCGGTTCAATAGTCAATTGAATGGTAGACCTTTTACTCAGTCCGTGGGGACAGATTGTACAGCTGCGGTATAAAAGCTCTACTCCCGTAATGACGCATGATGACACAGACTAACGTTCTCTACCCTCGGTAGGGCCGGTTTGTCGTCAAAGGTCCACACGGGGGTGGGGAATCTGTAATTTGTGAAAAAAAAAACAAAAAACAAAAAAAAAACGGTTTTTTAAACGGATGCGGGGGTGGGGGAGGCGAGGTAACTCTTCTGCAAATATACACGGAGTGATTTCCGGAAAAAGATTAACCACTGACCAAATGGTGCGCTGAGTGTGTACTTGTTGGTATGATGATTCGATTTGACTAGTTAGAGATGTTTATTTAATCCAATCAGATTAATTTAAAGTAAAAATTAATTGACAATCTTTACAGGGACAACGTAACATGGCGGCAAGAGATTCCTTTTTAAATAGTTTCGAGTCATTAGCTGTTGCAAGCGAGTGGACTCCAATGGAAGAAGCTCGTCCTATCAATGTGCCCATCTACTCTTCTTCCACTTTCAAGCTTCCAACTGTAGCTCGTGGGGAAGAGCTGTCTACGGGCAAGGTGAGTGAAACTATGGATCATTCGTTCTACGCCGAAAAAAAATCGTTTTGTTAAAATTATTGCGGAGTTCCGCTTGCTTTTGGCTTCCTTTTTCGGCAGGAGGTGCAACTGTGACACGTGTTCATATAGGGTTGGGGTGGGGATGGTATACCTACCAACTCTCACGCCTTAGGCGTGAGTCTCACGCCTGCGGGTTGAAAACTTCGATCTCACGCCCGCTCACGCCTGCGGACCAATTTCTCACGCCTGACTGAAAAATGTGAGTTGTTGCCGTCTTGCTTGACACAATTTCCAAAAATATGTTAACTCAGACCCATGTAAGGAACGAAAACCATGTGTAAAATGAATAAATGACAATACCTTCCTCGCGATCTCTGATTTTGTGGATAAGCGTTTTCTCGATAACTTCGCCTTCGGCAGACTTCGGACATCTTCGGAAGACTTCGGACTTCTTCGGGAATCTTCGGAAATGATCGTGTCGTTTTCAAAAATCCCAGCACTCCCAGGATAAAAATCTCACGCTTACATCTCAGAAAAAGTTGGCAGGTATAGGATGGTAAGGTGAAAAAAAACTTGACCCAAAAATGAGTGGACTGGTGTGAGTAAGGTCGTTATGGTAGTAAACGGTAAATGCTTTGTGTATAGTAAAAGAGCACTTAGTTGATCTACAACAGCTAGTTTACAGGCAATCCACTTAAATAATTCAAACAGATAATTTAAAAATCATGATACCCTTGAATAATTTGTTTTATTCAGAGTGATGGGTGGCTGTATTCTCGTTGGAATAACCCCACAACTGATGCTGCAAGTCAAACACTCAATAATTTAGAAGGGGGATATGGAACATTGCTGTTTTCATCAGGCATGGCTGCAGTTTCAACAGCATTTATGGCAATGTTGAAGAGTGGGGATCATGTGGTAAGAATATACACCCTTATAGAGCGATTTTTGAATGACCAGGGCTCAAAATTAGCGACTAACTGGTCGCATATGCGACTGGATTTTTGCTTGTACGCCTAAAAATTCATGTGTAATCGCACCTGTGCGCTGTAAAACCCAAAGCACGGTGCAACTGACTTACTTCTGACTATAGTAACGAACTCGAACTAGAAAGACGGTGTATGTTCAATTCGTCTTTTCTCCCAATGGATTCTATGAACTCGAATGTTCTTTTTAGTTTCAATGTTTTACTCCATCCCAGACTCTTCTGTTTTGTAATAAACATCGCTGACACATGCAAATATATGCTACGAATGAAACACGTACTTTTTGCGCAATGGACGATCATCTCGAATGTTCAGTTTTAACGTCCATCAAAACAAAAACAGTGCGCATTAAGAGCCTTTTTTTTCCAGGTAAGAAAGTTTTTTAAGTCGTATTCCAGTTACATGTAAGTCATTGCGCATTTAACAAATTCATTAAAGATTAATTTTCATTCTCGTTCGACACACTCATTGTTGTCAGTTTTGAATTGTTTTTTTAAGTGTAAGTTTTCTTTAGTCACAACCGTACGTACTGTCAAAAAGAGAAATCAAATCGGCTGTGTTTTATCAATCACAGGACTAAAGTAAAAGTAACAAACTGAAGATGACAAATAAACATGGCACTGTTAAGCTTTTTACTTTTTCTTTTGAAATAGATGCTCCCAACATTATAAGCTGTGCTTCTAAAATTTCAGCTGTGCGCCTAAAATTTCGGCAGTGCACCTAAAAATTTACATCTGGTAGCAGAAGTGCTCCCAAACTGAAATTTAAACTTTGAAGCCTGATGGCCTTGAAAAATGATGAAGTATTCGTTTTATCAGCGAATGGATGAAAAGATCAAAACATGGACTCTTTGTTTTCCTGCTAAAGAAAACCCTAACATCGAGAAGGCATTGTTCGATTGGCCAATCATGTTGCAGTATGACACCAAAGTGAAGTATCAATTGATTTCTAGAAAGTTCTTGGGCATGAAGATTTTTCACCAGAGTGAACCAAAAGCCACATGCATTTGTATCCGTTCGAAAAACCAATCAAATCACTCTATTTCTGTTAGGTTTTTGCTTCTGTTTTGTTCGGGCATTTTCATTTCAAGGTCATATGAAAATTGCTCTATCCTAACGAGACTGTGAGACAAATTTAATCCTCATGACAGGGCTTTTCGACTAGCCTGCCAGCAAGCTCTCTTAGGTGCTCTGGCTGTGAGTGGGGGAGTCCTGCAGAGTGGGTGTGGTGCAATTCACCTTATCTTCTAAGGGGTACTGATTCCAAAATAGCACTATCAATTTTGGACATTTTCACATTTTCAGCTCAATACTCTAAATTTAAGGTTTCAAAGTAACTTCAATGGTGGTGGCCATTTAAGATTTAAAATCCTACATGGTCTCAAGTGGCAAATTTTAAGCCCTAAAAGGCAAAATCACACCCTTGCCTATTTTTATTGGAAAGTCTCCTGGACTTTTTTGTCCCCCCCCCGCCTCTTGAGATCCTTGGACACTCAATCAGAAGGCATGTCCACTAAGCTTCTTCCCAATTCCAGAAGCATTTAAGTCATATATATATATATATATATATATATATATATATATATATATACAAAACCTTTATAGAAGAGTTTTTGCAAAGTACATTGTATTTAATTTCACAGGATTTTACAAAAAAGGGTTAAATATATATATATATATATATATATATATATATATATATATATATATATATATATATATATATATATATGTATGTATGTATTTATAAACCTAAGAGCTGGAAGGGTGAAAAAAAGAGTGTGGTGTGTGGGTGGAAAGCAGTGAACAATTCCCATTGACAATGTATTGATATTTTCTCCTTTAATTTCCTAGGTGATTCCAAAAGTGGTTTACAGTGGTACACTATATGTAGTGAAAACATTTCTGTTGCGATTTGGAGTGGAATTTACCAGTGTTGATGGCTCAGATCCTTCTTCTTATCGGGATGCTGTCAAACCCAACACTAAGGTTTGTCTTAAGAATAAAATTAATAATTATTCATCGCCTCATTAATGACATCTACTCTCTGGAAAGACAGTAAAAACACTACAAAAAAGTGTTAAAGTTGCTTTAAAAACAAAACAACAAATTTAGGATATGAACTACATGTGTCCTGTTTTTATATTATTGGCTCCTTGTGGAGACAGAACCATCTTAGAATGGGTGGTCATTTGATTCAGCCACACCAAGGTCTAACTATTTGCTTTGTAGAGGCAGTTATTGTATACCACAGTTTATATTTAAGGCCCTTAGTATGGGTCTGACCATTAGATGAAGAAGAAAGGCCTTTTTTTACCATAAATTCCTTCATACTCATAACCTATTACATTATCACAAGGCAGGAGATCAAGCAAAGCACGCTCTTAGCTTTTAGACGATCTCTGCTTTATATCAGATACCATGATGATTAAATCTGCACCTTCTACTTCTCAGTCCATGCTCTACTGACTGAGGTTGTGCTGCTACCATGGAAACATACTGATTGATCATCATCATCATCATCATCATCATCACCATAAAAATTGTAACAGGCATTGTAAGCTCCAGGCCAAAACAATGGGATGTTTTTTTTCAGTTGCCATTCTAATATTCGGGGATCTTGAACTCTTGTGTATGTTGTGGTTCAATTTTATCCGTGGTTTAAATTTTCTTTTCTTTTGTTTCAAACTCATTATCATACATTACCATACCCAAAAACAAAGGAAAATAAAATTTAAATGAAGGATAAAATTGAACCACAACGTGTACGTAAGGCATCCCTATGCTGAAATAGTGATCAGCACTATCAGCTAATACTTGGTCGAAATGTTAGCTGACATATCAACTTATTCTTCATTGATATATTGGCCAACTATTGGTCGATTTGACCATCGGCTTTAATTTGCCGAGTGTCAGTCGGCGTGTTGACTGACAGATAGTGAACATGTGGGTGGGTCTATCTTTTCTAGATCTGTGTTTAATTTTGGGGGATGATCAAAGAAGAAACCCATTGAACTAATGCTCTGAACTGATGTTGATGCAGACTCTGCCTGCTTATTGTCTGTGAATGTAATGTGAAATAAATCATGAACTATGCTTGAAACAGATCAATATGGATGTGTGACTTGCAGCTATATTAACATCCTAAGCAGCTGAAAAAGAAAACTGAAAAAATTCCTGACTTGACCGGGATTCAAACCCTGGCCTTTGTGATGACTGTTCACCTAGTGCAGTTTTCCAAGAGATCTTCAGCTGTTTGATCGCTGAACTTGAAAGACCATGATGGAGATTCAGATATCTTTCAAGCATACAGAGATACAGCAATCTGCTGCACTTTATGGAGAATTCCCACTACTTCACAACTAAGGTATCTCATGTTCTGATTTTCAGGTTTCTTAAAAAAAAGTACCTTCAAGATTTTTAGAGTGTCTTTGTATTTATAAACAAAGTGCTTCTTGAGAACATTGTTTTTTTGCAGGACAAGGGCAGCACCTTCATTTCTCAGTTATATTATGATAAATTTGTTGTATCTGATATGACTGATATTTCCTATGGCCCCGGGGATCAAACCCTCAAACTCTTGCTCTACAGATTTGAGTGTTCTGCTGACTTATCTAACCCTTCTGTGTGATTAGACAAGGGAGGACTTCAGGAACAAAGCTCTAGATTTTCCTCACAATGCTGCAAAACAAAACAAACAATATGCTTTATTCAGTCAGAAATTGAAAGTTAGAAGCTTCTGGCAGCTTCTTTGTTTGGAAAATTGTTGCTCTTGGTATGTTCAGTAAACTAGAAAAATGTAAAATGGGTGACCGCATCAACACCCGTCAACATTCAGCAGTCGTACCAAATTAATCAAATCACAAGGTGGTCTCATGGATTGGTGTCATCAAATTAAAAAATACTGTATGTACATGCTGTCAAGACCTTACTTTTGCCAGACTGAGTGTCTCACCCTCTGTCTAAATAAGACGTGTTTTAACTAGGAAGAAGAAAATTTGGAGTTTCACCAAGTGTTAGATATTGCCGTTTAAATTGAGTAACATGTTAAAGTTGTTGTTGAAAACCTATTCTTCATTTTTGAATGTCAGCTCGACGAGTCGCGCCTTTTGCCTGTAAGTGTCTTTAAAAAGTTGTTTTCGTTTTGGAAAGTGCCCATATTTTTCCGTGGGGCTTTGTTTGTGAACGCAAGGAAACTAAGTAGATGTTAGCAAATTTCGGGTTAAAAATAAGGAAATTTTGAGACCCCTACCACGAAAAGCGATATTTGTTATTTACTTGAGAGTGAAAGGCTTTTGGCGGGAACAATTTACATCAGGTTCCTTATACTCTCTTTTTCAACTCTTCGGATGAAATCAACATTAGAGCCGATTTTTCCTGACCGTCGCTCATTCTCTATTTTTTTTTCTGTAACGTTTTGATGATTACCCCAAACACTCTGTCTCCTCTACTGTCCTATTCTGCGAGCAGTGGTTCAGTGGCCGGACGCTACGCTACAAAGGGAGGAAAACTACTGCTTCGTAGAGTAGCGTCCGGGCTGGAGAAACACGCACTGCTCGCGGGGTACTACTGTTCAGACCTCTGCTAAACAAATTATGTGAATAACAGAGATTTCTATTTTTGCGTTCAACTCATCCTTATTTAAACCGTGGTTTCTTTCCTCTCGCCATTTGTCAGTTTGTTTTGAGAAAAACGAAAGGCTGCTGACAACGTTAAAACTTATGGCGATGTTGATCTCATCAAGTTGATGCAATTGAAACTCCGGGGAGTGCTCAACAGAGGTTTATATGGGAGCCTCCGCCAAGAGGGCAACCCCTCAGTATATACCATTGTTAACAGAAAAGGCACCCCTTTCGTATGCCTTGACAATGTATTCCTTTTACATAGCCAGTTTAGAACCCTGCACCCTTTTTGACTGCCTTAAATGTACCGTCGTCCAAATATGAATAAACCAGGTAGTTTTCTTGTCTTTTCCCAGCCAAAAAATGTATCTACTAGCCTCTTTAGGTCCTGTCACAAACTGCAATGACATATTTTCCTACCCTTTCATATACTTCAACTACTGAAATCCCTACACTTTCATACACCAGAAACCTGACTAAGGTACCCCTTTCGGGCGGAGCCTCCTTTTATTAGCCTGTACCACAGACGAAACTTAACTCTGGTTAAGTCCGTCTGCGAAACAGCGCCAAAATCCTTGTTCTGGGCCTCCACTTGTATACCAGGATTTGAGTACGCGCCATGATTGGCCTTTTAAAAATGCTATTGTCGATTTGCCAATCAGAATGAAAGGAAATTCGAACGCACTTCCGGTAATTCGTTGAGTCCGTGAGGGGCCAAGAACAAGGATTAACTTTTGCCTGCGACACAGGCTACCTTGTGTACACCATCATAAGGAGTAACCCCCGGGAGTTGAAATGACGGTTAAAAGGATTTAGGCTTAGCAGGAATATTATTGATTATTTTGTCAGGTTATCTTTTGTGAAACACCTTGTAATCCAACCATGACCTTGGTAGATCTTGAGGAGATTGCTAAGCTTGGCAAAGAAAATGGTGCCATCACCATGGTCGACAGCACATTTGCTTCTTCTTTTAACCAGAAGCCCATCCAACAGGGAATTAATATTGTTATTCATAGCTGGTGAGTAAATTATGAAAAAAAACCACATCATATGTTGTTCACAACCGTTAAAAATATATCATAGTTTATATTTGAAGAGGTAATACCAAGTGGTTTCCTATTATACTCAGCAAACACGAAGTAAGCATAACCTTAGAACACAAGACATAGATGTACAAGAGAAAAAGGATTTCTTACTGCGCTTTTCACAAACATGCGAATTGTGAAGTTCAAAAGCCAACTGACGATTGCGTTTTTCGCTGCCGTCAATCATCTTAACGGACCTCCTAGGAAACAGAACTTTACTTTAACGAGTTCAAAAGGTCATGGTTTGTGATTTGTGATTGGTGGATTTGGATCCGTTTTGTGTGTTTCTGTGTTTCAAGGTTCGTTGCTTGTGATCGTAATTATGATTGACGGCAGCGAAAAACGCAATTGTGAAGGCGGCTTTTGAACTTAAGAGTTCGCATGTTTGTGAAAAGCGCAGTAATGTTTTTCGACGAAACATTTCACGTTCACGTGAAATTAGACGGCGTGGTCGCGGAAGCAGTAGTCAATAATAACCTTCGCGGCATGCGCGGGAACTTAAAATAGATTTTAATTAATTGACATGGGGCACAGGGATTCACTCTCTTGGCTCATTCTCTTTTGAATCAGTGAATGGGCGGGGACGCTTGCCTCTCTATTGGGGACTAAATACCTGTAAACACTCGTAAAATCACACGTAATCTATAGGTGCCCCTGTTTTATTGTGATCACCCGTTCTCGGTTGGTTGGGATTTTTCGTGTTCTACTCGTCACTACCTAAATCTGGGTAGTGCCTCTGATTGGTCATGCAGCGAGAGAAATTTGCGTCAACTAATCACAAGCACTGTCTTTATGGCGTTTCTGCGCTCGTTCCTCAGACTTCATTTCGCGGGAAAATCAGTGGTGGCGTCACGAAATGTCCGCTGTTTACTCAGGCAAAAAATATAATGCTGAGGTTTTTCCGTAATAACTAACCAGACACTTACTGATCCTTTGTCTTCTTCTATAGCACGAAGTATCTTGGTGGACATAGTGACATAACAGCGGGATCTCTCACGTTGTCATCACAGGAGCTGTATAAAGAATGTTATGAGTTGCGCAAGTTCCTTGGAGGATATATGGTAAACACACAATCTACTCCTTGGATATTTTAAGCTGCCATGTCGTACTAACAATTTTAAGGCTTGTTAAGTGAATGTACGAAGCATCTTGTATTTTGGTGGCGCTCTCTTAGTGTTTAAATGTTTGGCTTGATGGTCAAGTATTTGTTGAAATAGCCAGCAAACAAATTTGTTGAGAAATAATATAAGGCTGAGTTGTAGTTCACGAAACAGAGTAGCAAGTATCTCTCACGTGTTTGTGTAGGTGTTGACTCCCCTCGACTGCAACATTGCTCTTGCGTCAAACCTGTAATACCTCAAATTAGTAAAAACCTGCGTTATCCTTTTAAGAAAACGTGTGGGGACCCCAACTTGTAAGTAGTGCTCGTGCGCAACATTTTTTGTGGTGAGGAAGGAGGTGTACGGTATGTGTATTTTCATTTGCTCTTGACTGTTTGTTCAACATGTACAAAAAAGTAACGCAGTTGCAAACACTTGACCCAAAACTATGGCATATTAACGGCATTTAAGGTCGAGAGTGTTTTTACAGATAAAGGTGAAATGTTATATAATTGTTTTTAGAGGGACAAGACAAGCTTAAACCCAACAACGTTTTGTTTTGTTTTTTTTTTCACATATGTCCTATCGCTAGAGTACCATTGAAGTGTCCAAGTAACATTTTTAAATTTTGTTTAGTCACCATTCGAAGCTTTCCTTCTGCACCGTGGGCTGAAAACTCTTCATGTTCGTATGGAAAGACATAATCAAAATGCCATGGAAATCGCCAAGTTCTTGGAAGGTCATCCAAAGGTATTCTAAGTGTAGTTTAGTCGATCATCCCTATGCATATTACGATTGCTAGTGTAGGTCATTTACAGGAAATCCAGACTAGGCATATATCAAAAGGGAATTTTAAAACATGGTGTCGGTTTGCTGTGCTGGGGCCCGTTTCTTAAAAGTTCCGATAACGTTTCGGAACCAAAAAGCTGTATAGTGTTTGCAGTGTTTTACATTCAAGATCAAAGTTTCAGTAATTCTGAAAATGATACAATGAAATTACAGTTGATTAACGAAGCCAAATTGACTTGTTTATGACCAAGGAACTGTGCTACTATTCAAAAGGTTTTGATTTAAAGATTTGCGTTCGGGCCCGAAAAGTTATCGAGACTTAAGAGAAACAGGCCCGTGGAGACCATTAGCAACACCGTCATTGTCAATCGTGGTGCATTTTCGAACCTCACTCATGCTTGGTCGATTTCGATACTTAACATTGGTAGTGTTTGTGTTGTCACTTCTAATCCACCGTACCGTACGTAACAAGATGGCGACTGGTACATTTACCCACAGTTCTTAGCGCATGAAAACCACAAAATTGCTCATAAAAACGCACAGAACAGTTTTATAAACTTCAAACCTAGGATAGGCAATGTTGCTATTACTGGGGCGAATTTCGCCCCCCTCGCCCCCCCCCCCCCCCCCCAAAAAATGACTATTTGTAATTGGCCGTGTTAGGTTCGAAAGGAATTGTGGTAAAATGTACGGCCGCCATCTTTTTCCGTACGGCGGATTGGCTCATGTCATTGCCAGCTACTCTTCTGATCAGACATCAGTGCAGTATCTGAATATTTAAAGAACCTGAACTCAGATATATATCTGCTCTATCCCTGGGGCAGGTTTTGTAACAGTTTTACTACTTGAAGTTGTAAGGGTAGAACTGAAAGACTGACATATAAAGTTCATTCCTATATATGTATTACAACGTACCCGCATCGTTTGTAAGAACGAAAAAATTAAATCCCTAACGTGCCTATGTAACAAAACACTTAACTTTAGAGTCAATTTATTTAGCTCAAAACTACTAATTGGGGACACTATTTTGTACGTCTCCTGTTAGAGAAGGGACCGAAATTTTACTTGATCATCCTAGCCACGCGAAGGTCTGGCCATTCGTAGAGTATTGGTTCGATCCCGGGAATCAATCCCTTATAATCTCCCACACTGGAGTCAAGCGCTTTACCGACTGAGATAATCCTGCCGCTGTAACCCTACTTTTTTCTCTATTTTCTGTCATGATTTCTTTTTGGTCCTGTTCAGGTTGAAAAAGTTTTCTACCCTGGATTGCCTTCCCATCCTCACCATCACATTGCAAAAAAACAGATGACAGGATACAGTGGAATGTTGTCGTTTGAAGTGAAAGGCGGAAAGCAGGCATCTTGTCAACTGGTTGAGGTACGCATCACCACGCTACAACATTAAAAGATATTTTAGCGATTGTTTGCAGCAGCCAGTTGTATTTTGATTAACTAGAGCGATTTTCGTATGACCTTGAAATGAAAACGTGGGGAAAAAAAGGAAACAACAAACGAACGGAAATGGAGTGATTTGATTGGTTTGTCGAACGCGCGCTTCTTTTGGTTGGTTAAGCAAACGCTCGGGGGAAAAAACGTCATGCCCGAGAACTTTCTAGAAATCAATTGATACTTCGCTTTGACGTCATACTGCAACACGATTGGCCAATCGAACAATGCGTTCTCCATTTTAGGGTTTTCTATGGCGGGAAAACGAAGAGTCCATGTTTTGATCTTTTCATCCATTGGCTGATAAAACGAACACTTACCGAACAATTTTTCAAGGTCATACGAAAATCGCTCTATCAATCCCAGGACAGTTTGAATATGGTTGCCTTCTTGAGTTATGGTCGCGTGGTTGACAGGCGATGAGATAGTTATAGTTGCCTGCGAGCGAACTCTAGGTAAGCAGGGGTGGGGGGAGAAGGGAAAGAGAGCTGTCGTAAAAACCCCATCCCTTCCCCACCTGTTGTTTTCCCTGAGAACATTTACTATTGTAAACTTTTTTCCATTTTAAATTACTTTTAAAGGATGAAATGTTTTGACAGTTTTGGTTTTAATTTCAGAATCTGAAAATGATCCAGCTCGCTGTGTCTTTAGGTGGAGTTCAAAGTTTGATCGAGATAGCTGGCTCTATGACTCACCCCGAAAAGTACATATCAGCATCCGAAAGGAAGGAAGGAGGCCTGTCAGAATCACTTGTAAGATTCAGGTACGCGTTGATTGTTGTTCTTGTAACTTTATTGGTAAGACCATGCATCGAAATGACATACAGAAATGATGTTCTTTTTTATTGTTGATTCACACACCCTTGACTTTATCCCTGGTCCTTCAAAACGTTCGTACACTGGGTATCCGATGCTGTATTACGTACACACTTGCTCGATTTTGCGCCTGCCTTTAGATACCATTTTAAAACAATAGTCCAAGAAGGATTTTTTTAGGGGTGTGCAAATCAAGCAAAGTACTGCTGATGAAGTGCTTCCTTGCACAGGGACTGGAGACGGTTCCCGAGTACAAGGTCTCGTCTCTCCCGATTTCCAAGGGAAGGATGTGTTCACATTGGCCATGTCCAGCATTAATCGCCCCTGGGTACAAGTGTGAATATAACCCTTAGTATAACGGCTAGAGTTGAATTAGGCTTAACTTCCTTGTGCCCAGCAAAAATCGCACTCGGGCACCAAGTGTGAGTGATAAATACAAAGTGTTTTTACCGTTCATCGTCCCTCACTTCAACTACTGCCCAGAGATATGGCATTTCTGTAACAAAAGTGCCACTGCAAAGCTAGAGAAAGTTAATGAGCGTGTCCTTCGTTTTGTCTTTAATGAGAAACAAACGCCCTACTCAGAGCTACTAAATAGAATAGGCTTACCATCACTTGTGAATCAAGGCCTCGCTAAAATAGTATGGACAGTTTTCAATGTCATTAATAACAAACATATTGCATGGGCCAAACAGCATTAACGATCTGATCAAACATAGAAACAATAAATACGACCACAGGGGAAATGATATTTTAAAGCGGCCAATGATCAACTCTTCAACTTACGGCCTGAAATCCTCACTAGTCATTCTTTTGTTTTCTCCCCTTTAGTGTCGGTTTAGAGAATGTTGAAGACCTCAAGAAAGATCTTGAGCAGGCCTTCGAAAAAGTGTAACAAGGAAGGTTTGCTTCGTGGGGAATGAAATCCACTGTCAAGTTAAAAAAGGGATATGTAATCAATTCATTGAAAGTTAAATAAAACAGCATTTTTTCTCTTCCAGTGGTTCTTGGCCCTTTTTTAGTGTCTGAAAGGTGTACTTAACCCTTTAAGCCCTGAGAGTGATCAGCATCAAATTTCTCTTTGTAATAACAATGCTTTGTAAAACAGAGTGGTCGTGAGAATTACGGACATGTTCACACGAGAAGAATTTGCTTGATATTTTATCAACTTCTCCCCACTACTTCTGTAGGAAATGAATAGGGGCAACGAATGAGAATTCAAATTTTGATCCCAGGGTTTAAAGGGTTAATGCATGTTCCTTCATTTCAAGGAGCAAGGATTAGCACAGTTGGTTAGTGTACGGCAGCAATGATAGAAAGGAGGGGGGAGGAGTATATTGAGTGCACCGTCGGCCTTAGCTTTTCTGCGGTCTAATAGAGGCTCGGGTGGACAGTTTCATACAAATCACTCTATTTTGCCCACCTCAGCCTCGAGTTGGTGCCCTTGTTTACGGGAAAGCGGGAAAGGTCTATTACTATTGTTACGAGTTACTGACTTAAAATAAAGACCTACTAAGTAAACGAAAGCTTGAAACGAGTCCTGTTTTTTTGTATGGGTGTACGGACATGTTAAGTGACTTGCTAGGACTCCATGTATGAGACCCAATAAACAGTATACAGCCCACTCTCTCTTAACGGACACGTCTGTAAAACGAACACTTTGAGTTGGTCCCTGCCTTTCTTTACTCCTTTTATTTGATTCTCCGGAAGACGGATATTAATAACTTATTGGACGAGGTTTTTGTGATATCCAGAATAATCAAGGTCGAGGTAGGAGATATCAGCCGAAGGCTGAGGCTGTTAACCCTTCCCGAGGCCTTGATTATTCTGGATATCACCAAAACAGAATCTAATAATTGTTTTATAATGCATTGAACGAAACAAAACAAATGGTCACGTCAGTTAATGGAACTGATAATTTATTTTTAAACGTATAAAAATATACAAATCATCGGCAAGCAACACACAGCGCGCATGATTACCCTTAGAAATCATGCACCGCGGTCATACATGACATGATTACCCGTGACCGTGAGTGTCCTTGACATGATTATTGTATAATCTGCAGCTAGATGACGTCCCAGCCGCTGATTTCGAAAATTCACTGTACGCTTTTGGCAAATCAGGAAAGAGATAGTGAGTTTTTTTTTGTATAATAATACTCTTTGATGGGCACTTTGTGTCGGTCCCCAAAGGTGTACCGGCTTAGAGAGAAAGTTGACTGAGTTGACTGTATGGAGGTCAGGCCATGAGTCAAACGGTCGCTTACCGAAGGTTAAAAACAATGGAAAGTCATAAAACTGTGAGCTCAAAAGGTGGTTGCGGTTGTTACGAGAGGTGGCCGTTTACAAGGGGTCCCAAGTACAGAGCTTTGAGTCCTTTGACTGGCGCTCACGAAAGGTGATCGCGTGAACGAGAGGTGATCGCTGCAAGCCGCAAACAGCGAGAGATTTGACTGTAGCCTTCTAAGACTTATAAGAATTGGGGTAACACCTTTAGCACAGTTAGGTTATTTTTTCCGTCGCTTTCTCAGGTCCCTTTTTGGGCAGGAGGGTAGACTCATTTATTGAACGCCGGCAAAGAAATCAAGCCTATGCGTACGGTAATTAAACAACGTCCGACATTATGCCTTTTAGATTTTCATACAACTTGTAGGTTCAGCGGAAACAACCTACATAAAAACAACTCTAACAAGTTCATCAGCATACGACTTAGGACTGGTTTAGGTTTCCTGTTTTCATGTAGGCTCATACGGTCACATCGAGACAGCCATATTCTCGTCCCCCGAGCCCGTCGTTTCTTAGTCACGCGGTCGGTTACAAATTAAGCCGAGTGGCTCTGGGCACGTGAATGAGACAGCCACGGCTGGAGACCAAGCCTTGCGCATTGCGCAATGTTTTCGGAGAGACCCCCAAAAATTTACTGTGTTATTGTTGCCTAGTTAAAGATTGAAAACTCAAATTGTTGAAACTGAAGCAGGAATTTACAAAATCCTGCATTATACTTACAACGTTCTCGAATAATCAAATCGGATTAAGAACAAAAGACTGTACCACAAGGATGGCGTTACTAACTCGGCTTCAAATTGCTCATTGTAATTTTTCCGAATAGCTTTGCGCAGTGGCATTACCGTAGCCAGTGAGGTTTATCCGAGGCGCGGTTATTGCTGATTGAAAACTTTTCCCAATACCCCGCAAGACGACTTGAAATACAGTCGGCTTTGCAATTTTTGATGGTCCACACGTGGACCCCACCTAAATCAAAGAAAGACGAAAACTGTCCGACTAATGAGCTGACAGAAAAGAAAAACACATACGCAAGAAAAAAAAAACAATAACCCGCAAAAGATTTCACCATTCCCAATATGGCAGAAGCTGTCAAGAGCGCGAAATTTGAATTTCAAAACAGATGTAAATCGATTTGCCATCCAAAAAACTTTTCGTTCGTAAATTCATATTTGACTCCAGATATTGATGTAAACGCATGTCTCATTACACCAATCTGCTTTATTTCCGTCCTTACCGAAACCGCATCTTTTTTAAACTGCTCCACACGAATGAGGGTAAACAAACATGCGGTTTAAAAATTACCAGATTCGTTTGCACGGGTCAATTTTGAACCTTGATTTGAATTTGAATGAAATAGTTTTTGACTGCTTTACGTTTTTTGTAATCCATCGTGTATCCTTTAGAATAGGTATTACACATGGCGTTGAAATGGGGGTCGACAAAAAAAGTCTTCAAAATGTGGGTACTTCGGTCAGGCGGGACTTCATTTTGCAATGCCTGGTTGTGGGTCACTGAACACTTTGTGATGGGAAGACTAATTCCGTGAAAATAAATGTTTCTAGAGAGAAATCATGTCAAATAAGAACTCCTATTGTTCTTATTACGCAACGCAGATCAAACTCTTCTTGGAAAAAGAATGCGCACTTTTAGGAGTTTCATTTTTCGGTGCCGATTTGCAGAAAAGGCTCGACGTCCTGTGGAGATGGAAGCGCAGAAAAAGAGAATTGCAAAAGTGGTTTCTGTTGATGAAGACTGGCAGACAACAAGATCAGCCATACGAGAAAGGATGGAGTATGTATTTGACAATAAGTTGTTAAGCGACGTGAAATTTATTGTTCCGAGATGGCGAGATTCCAATTTGTTCACCACTGAGATTTCAGCTCACAAGTTTGTGCTGGGAATTAGCAGCCCAGTATTTTTTGCAATGTTCTATGGAAAAATGGCGGAGAAAACAGACTCAATTACATTACCAGACTGTGACCGAGCCAGTTTAACAGAGTTGTTCCGCTACATGTACTTCGACGAAGTATCATTGTCAAGCGAGAATGTGATGCGGGTTTTGTATTTGGCCAGGAAATACATGGTGCCTTCGCTCGAGGAGAAGTGCAACGCATATTTACAAGAAGAATTGAACGCTAATACTGTACTGGACATTTTGCAGGATGCTCAAAAGTTTGGTGATGAAGATGTGGAAGAACGATGCTTGAAGGTGTTGAAAGCTCAAACGAAGGAAGCTCTGTCGTCATACACTTTAGAAAAACTTGACAGTTCTCTCTTAGAGTCGATTGTGAAAATGGATGGTCTAAATGTAAGAGAAGTGGAATTGTTCAAAGCAGTTGATCGATGGGCAGCAAGACAGGGCCGAATTAAACGTATTGCACGTAAAAAACTGCCAGATGGAGGGGAAAAGAGAGAAATAATTGGAGAGGCAATTCTAAAGGCGATTCGTTTTCCCTTGATGTCTTTGAAAGAATTTGCTTCAACTGTAATTGACAGCAACATTCTTACAATGAAAGAGATATCTGAAATGGTAAAATACTACGCTGACGTCTCCATTTCGCCTTTATCCTTTGAACAAGCTCCAAGGATAGGGCCTTTCAAGCGATGCTGTAGATTTGGTAGGTTGGTGTCAGTGGAGGAAGGACGAGGATGGTACTATCGTGGCTCCAGCAACGAAATTCGTTTTAGTGTTACCAAAGATGTTATCTTACACGGAGTTCAGCACTTTGGAAGTGAAGATGGCAAGTACGAGGTGTCCGTCAAAATTAAAGATCTTCGTAAAAATGATTCCTTCCTGTCACATTCTTACCTTACTGAGCAGTCTGGGTCATATTTGTCATCTAAAGAAAACAACGAAACTTTCCATGGCTTTGATGTCTTGTTTGACAAAGCAGTTGCCTTGGAAAGCGGTACAACATACGAGATAGTATCAAATATCAGAGGCCCTGATTCTTGGTATGGATTGGAAGGAAAACCAACCGTTGAGTGCTATGGGGTCACTTTTACCTTCAGCCGAGCGTGCAGTTTTGTAAGCGATGTTTCAAGAGGCCAGTTTCCTGCTCTTATTTTCACTGTTTATGTATGATGAAAAAATTTCCGGGACGGTCATAGTTTAACTAATTGTTAGGTGTTTCGTTTGAAGTGTAGTTACTCAACTGGAAGAATGATTAAGTAGATAATAAAAACTTTTGAAAAAGCTGACTCAAAACAACAAAAAGATGATGTAAAGGTTTTGTTTTAGTATTTGGTTCAGAATCATTCCGTCGTTTTTTATTCATATTACTGTTATAGATTATTGTAAGATGAAACCTAAGGACCAAAGCTTTTTATTCGCGAGTTATAAAGCGCACGGCGAGTTAGTGTGATTCATTTTGTTATGAGTCGTCGCACCTTTAAGGTAGCATACGCATGCGTCCCAAGCATGCATTATAGCAATAGAGCGGTTTTCACTTGACTGTCGTAAAACCAAAACCAAAGTAAATACACTAGCCAACCAAAGGGCGTAATAAAACCAAAACCAAAACCAAAACCAATCCCTTTCGACAGTCAAGTGAAAACCGCTCTATTTTGCTCGGCATTTAGCTGACTTTCTGAAGGGGCTCAGGGCTATAATCTTTGAGCAAATTTATTTCGAAATTCCCGACCCTGCGAATGATGTAACCATAGTAAGGCCTTTTTTGCCATGATGAGCCTCTACTGTGTGACCTCAACCATAATTATTCAATAAAAATCCTTTTGGACTACAAAAGCGGTCTTTTAAACCTCTCTTCAGGTACCGGCGAAAATCGCCGGCACCTTTGTTGTCGTAATGTTATGCGCAGTAAGCGTTGCGCGGTGCAAAACAAGAGAACACGTAAAGATTACGGCAAAACATATACCACAATGAATGTGTTCCCAGCAACGACAAATGCTTCCTTTGAAGCGTATTACAGTTAGCTTTGCGCAGTGGCATTACCGTAGTCAGTGAGGTTTATCCGAGGCGCGGTTATTGCTGATTGAAAACTTTTCCCAATACCCCGCAAGACGACTTGAAATACAGTCGGCTTTGCAATTTTTGATGGTCCACATGTGGACCCTACAACAATGAAGGAAGATCCTAATCAATTTTGCTTATTTCAATTAATTTTGCTTATTTCAGTTAATTTTACTTCGGGCGTTAATCTACAAAGTGGTGAAAGAAACACCTTTTTTGACCGAGGAAATGCCGGGAACTGGTATCTGTTGTGTGCGTCGCTTTGAAGTTCGGCCCCATGAAGCTTCCCTATCGGACGCAAGACGACTTGAAGTACAGTCGACTTTGCAATTTTTGATGGTCCACTCGTGGACCTACAAAAGTGAAGAAAGATGGGTTTAATCAAAGTCGGGAACTCATGATTCTTCCAAACAAGCCTAGGTGAATGCGTTGGTATCTTAAGGGCACAAAGTACACGGTGTTAGTCCACTCAGTGATACCACAGTTTGAAACGTGCGGGAAGATAGTCGAAGAGTTAACTTACCGCAAACTTTAAAATAAATAATTTGTTTTGTCCAAAGCTACATAAAATTTTCTCTCAGAAAAAGGCCCTTAATCGCTAAAACATTTCGCTGGGAGCCTTTGCACGTCACATCGTGCGAAGGCCTTTCCGTATAAAGCGACCCCCCAAAACCCCAAGATCTGATGGTTATTTACTACAATGGAACCACAGGGAGCTCTTCCAAAAGCGGTCTGAACTCTGAAGATACAGTCGAACCTCCACGTGCGACCACATCCCGTAGGCGACCACCTCCTGTAAGCGACCACCTTCCCAAAACACCAAAAATGTTGTCAGTCAAAGCCTTATACTGGAACCTCTCGTAAACTGACCAACTCATGTAAGCGACCGCGACCTATTTTTCGGCTGGTAGTTTTAGAATTTTCTATTGTTTTCCACCTCCAGTAAGCGACCACTTGAATCCTTTTCGGGAGAAAATAGGATGACCTGACATCAGGCGCCGGTTGTTATTTTTAAAGGCCGCGCGTCCTCGCCCTATAAAACGGCGCCTGTTACGCAGGCTAGATGCGACACGATGTCTAGACAACAGGTTTTTCCTTGCCATTGTGCCGTTTTATAAAAACAAAATTTTATTACAATGACGTACAGGATTGAGACCTTAAATTTGCTTATTCTAATCACAGTGTTAACAGCAGAAATTATCTTACTGTTACATTTTTGTGAAGTAGTTCAATGCAAAACGCTATTATTACATACATACATGATTTATTGAACACTTCCTCTTAGGGGCTTTTCAGTGTCAATTACAAAAATGAATTCAAACATATAATAAAGTAAAAAGATTGACAATACATGTTATTTAAAAATTACAAATTATTTAAAGTATCATTCCCTCCCATATATAACAATCCTCCCTCTTAAACCCAACCCCCTTAACCGTTACTCTCAAATTATTAATTATTATTAGTAATTATTCCGTCGCATGTTTATTACTGTCCCTCTTAAATTTGTTTAAAAGTGTCCCTCCAAGCTTATTCCTAAAACTACTCACGTCAATGCTTAACTTGATATTGTTGTCTAAATTATTCCAAATGTTGACTATCCTATAGGGAATGTTTTCAGCCCAGTGGCAGACCTAAATAAAGGGATATTTAGCATCGGTGAATTTCTGGTTTTCCGGTTACTTACAGTACTACGTGTAATTAATTGATCACTAAGGTACCCAGGGGCTAGTCCCGACATGCATTTAAAAGCTAATACATTATTATTTATTATTATTATTATTATTATTAACATTATTATTCACAATGAACGTATTCATATGAAAGAGAACTTTTAATAGGATGATGTATATTCTTTGTAGTGACATGACTGGTATGAAGAGACAGTGGAATTCAATCTTTCTCTTTTTATGTTAAGAGACTTTCACAGCGACTTGTAGTACTAACGTTTAAAGCTTAACATTGATATAAAACTTGTTCTAACTGACCATAACATGATTGAAAAGCCCTCCCCACTCTTTTACTTGCGCCATTTTTCGCGCGGTCTTTGACTCTTGTTTTCCCTTCTTTGCTCCTGAACCGCACAGAAACGCTTGCTAAGCAGGCTAGAAATTGGCAGGTCTACCTCCAAACATACGGCGGTCTTACCACCTGATCATGTTCAGGACGTAGACATACTTTAAGGGCTAATAGTTCATTCTGAAGTTAATTGACTTACTTCGGGGTTCATGTATGTTATCTACCACCCGATAGCATTTTATACTCAGTCTACTCAGTCAATTTTAGCTACGACTTGATTCTGAGTATTGTATAATTTTTCATCTGTTACTTGTTAGTTAGGCAGGTCCACATCAGGACTGTCTTGCCGATTTTGATTTAATAAAAACAAATAAAGGATGGTGATGATTATGATGATGATGATGAGATGAGAAGACTAAATACTAACATTAACCACAAAGGAGTGCAGCAAACGAATACGCCGAAGAACGTAGTATCTATAAAGACCTGATCAGCAAAAATGGAAAGTAGACATATTAAACAGCTGTCTATGGCTACAATCCCGCTCTGTTTTGAGTTCTTTCGGTGCCGTGTTGATGTCTTGCAGAGTTAATTTTCACGTAGTACGATTAGCATTGCAGTACTCTGCTTGCAGAATTTAATGTGTCTATTTCTGCAAAGCTGAAACAAAGTGTTTTTCTCAGACTTTTGTATTTCGAATATTTCGGATACATTGACCAGCCTTGTTTGCAATCTTCTCCTTCCCTTTTCGCGCCTTTCTACCCCTATTCCTCCCTTTCTGCGCCTGCCATGAAGGCTAGTACTCATGTGCATTTTACGCTTCATCCTACATGAATTACATATCTGATCACGCAACGCTCCTCCCTCGGTCTCTTCCTCCAGGAGCATTGCGTGACTAGACAAGGAATGGCTCTGTTTCAGTCGCTGTTGGAGTTGAAATCGAGGAAGTAATGGTAATTAAGAAACCAATTTTTAAAATTGCACGATGAATGATCAAGCGGAAGCACAAACTAAAGTAACTGACGAAGAATTCAAAGATGGATTACTTCAAAGCTTAAACGAGCTTAGAAAGGCGAACTTTAGGTGCGACACAACGCTCCGAGTAGATGGACAAACCTTCCCTGCTCACAGCCTTGTGTTAATTGCTGCTTCTGATTACTTTAGAGCTCTATTTTCCACTGAGTGGCAAGTGAAAGAAAAACAGGAAAATGTAGTGGAGCTTAAAGTGGTTAAGTCAAGCATAATGGAAGATGTTTTGGAATTTATGTATTTAGGCCAAGTAAACATAACTGCCTCAAACGCCCATGATCTACTTGTGGCATCTGACTACCTGATAATTCCCAATTTAAAATCACGGACTGCACAATTCCTGGAGAAGTCCATGAATGTATCAAATTGCTTGACATTGGAGTCCTTTGGCTGTCAATACAACTGTGATACGCTTAGGCAAGCAGCTCTTAAATTCAAGAATGAAAATTTTGTCTCTATTGTGAAAACAGAAGATTTCATTGCACTTGAGTTGAACAAAGTCAAAGAATTGATGTGTCAAGATGAGCTAAATATCTCTGAAGAAGAAGAAGTTTATGAGGCGGTGATAGCCTGGGTTAAACATGATTTGCCAGCAAGAGAATGTTTTCTCCCAGATCTACTGAAATGTTTGAGATTATTCTCCATGTCAAAATACAGTATTTACAGAATTCTTAATAAAGAAGAGTTAGTAAAGAAGAACCTCATTTGCACTGCTATCATGAATACTGGCCTGCAATATATTCTGTATCCTGATTGGTTTTTAGGGAGAGTGCTGAAACATCGCAATTCAATTGACAAAGATGAACATGTGGTGTTTCTCCACGATGGTGTTGATATTGGTGATCGTTTAATTCGTAGAGAAACTTACTGTTTTGTCCTTTCTACTAAGAAGTGGCAGCAGTTATGCTCAATCCCTCCCTTTATTGAGGACAATTGTGCTGACCTGGTCTCTACAGTTTGCTTTGGACGTGTATATATGTTAAGTCATGATTCTCAGGCAATAAGCTGTTTCAATCCTCAAAAAAATTCATGGAAGTCAAAGGAAACAGGGTGCACCATTCAAA